TAGAACTCAGGTCGGAATAAAACTTTGTGAGGATGAGCATTTTGATGCAATAAAAACATTCATGACAAAAATTCAATTTGGCCAAAAATCGAGATACGCCGGTTCGTGGTGCGACCGACGAAAAGAACTCAGGTACAAGTTGTGAAAAAAACCTCGTCCATAAGATCCATTGGTGGTACCACGTGCTAGAACATTGTTTAATTTGGCAATCGCTTGGAAAAGACTTTGATAGCCAAAGTGGTTACGCTGTCCACTACTTTTTTCCGGCTCCTCAAGTATACCGACGATTCATAAGAAATAATAAGCCACAGGAACAAGACAGTGTTTTCACAGCACTTGGGCTTTTGAAAACGAGTTTCAGTCCGAATGTTTGGAGAAGAAGGAATGCTGAAAAATCCAAGTAGGCTTAGCAAAAACATTCGGACTTGAGTCTGATTCCAAGTCCTCTGCAAATATTTGTAAAATTCTTACATGTGCGTGTCAAATTCTGTGTCTGCCTCTTGTATTCTTTACTCATTCGATACAAGCCAACTAAAGCCTTCGTGCTTATCAGCTTGATTTTCATCATAACACCTTATGTTAACTTTGGGTTCGGTAGCGGACTCAATTCGGGCACTGACCGAAAGCATGTGATTTACTCTTCCTATACAGGGCGTCAAAAAAAAAATTGCAACCAGAAACCCTTTAATTTCTCAAAAACTACTCCACATTAGTATTTCATCTAGTTGGAGCATGTTAATTATTCTCTTGTGTATAATCAGTGAAAATGCCATGGAAATCCGTTCATGCAAACCAAATATCTAACAGATTGTAAAAGGCTATGGGTTTTCACCCATTCCAGTAGGATTTACACATAGTGATATCAGTGAATCAGATTGTCATGGGCCTTTTGACTTTCATGTAAATTCAGTTAACTATGTAAATCTCATAGCTTATTATAATCTGTTAGATCTCTGGTTTGCATGAACGGATTTCCATAGCATTTTTACTGAATATACACAAAAATATAATTAATATGCTCCATAAAGATGAATTATTCATGTTAAGTAGTTCATAAGAAATTAACGGATATCTGCTTACACAACCTTTTTGGAACACCCTGTAAAACCCTTATATGTGCCGTTGTCTGCTATGGTGTTACTTCCGTCCGTACTCACCGCGTACGCGTCGATGTGTAATCCCTTGAGAAAACGTCTGAATTAATTCACCCGTCACCACTGCAGCGTCTGTGCGCTTCACAGGCTTAGTTGGATACAGCGAAGTATCCAGTGTGAAAATCTAGAATTCATGTTCAGTGCAGGATTGGTAAGGCCTAAATGCGAAGACAAATGTCAGTGTGAAATCCAAATCGTGAATTTGGCCGTGCGCGGTTAAATGAGCCGTGTATGGGAAACCTGTGTAGCTGTATCTACCTCATTAACTACGCGGTCATCTTTCCGCACGATGTAATTTATGTCATCCGTTCCCGCGGGCCACACACAAAAAATGCTGCCAGTTTTCGACACCAGAGGGCGCTCTAGGCTTTGCAATGCCTCCCCTGTACATAATCAAAAACTAACTTGAGCTACTCTACAGTGAGTTATAAGTGTGGGCGGGATCACGTCAGCTTGTGACAACATCTGTTCAATTGCACACCGGTTTTCATCGGTTGCGATGAGTTGCCATTCCACACTCCAGACTCAAGAACCATTGAGTTGTAAGTAAATAGGTCTGGGAACTAGACACGACAATGTAAGAAGCTCCCGGATGTCCGCGCTCACCAATGTTACTGGTTTATGATCTTCGTCCATGTTTTTTAGAAGTACAAACCTGTTTTATCAACGTTCCTATAAATGGAAGTAAAGTTTAATTATTCATTTCATGTTTTAACTTCGATGTTTTTCTTTTGTATATTATTTTCTTTTCCACCAGTCAATTCAGTAATACAACAAGTGTCATTTGACCAACAAATACCCCCAAATTATTCACAGAAAATTAGGGCCAAAATATGACTTTACCTTTTCACCGACGATGATGCGTGACCATGCATCCCAAGATATTACTGCTCTCAATGGCGCTTTCACTTACCGGTATTTGCACTGTATCCCGTCTGCTAACATTGTGATGGTTGATTATTGGAACCGTAAATGTTCTCAGATAACAAGCTTCGGTGGCGTTTGGAGTATTTTCCCGAGGAGCCATCTGCTCTGCCCAGGCTCCCAGGGGAAAGATGCTGCAGATGACTGAGGCAATTAGACAGACACGGTCACGAAGCCACCTTTAAATTGCTGGCTGTGTCGACGGTGTCCACGATGTTAATTTTTGGCCGTAAATGTTAGAAAATTTCTTTCGCAATCGGGACAATTTCTCGTCATTTTCTGATATCTGTACAATGTTGAAATTGACGTATAAGGGTGCGGCACGAATGGTTGAAGTGCAAGTTGACTGAAATAAATAAGAGAATGAAGCGGCATTGTAGTCAAGCCATCAAAATGCAATCACATTTCAGCAAGTTTCAAGTCATTTTAAAATGTTGTCAAATAAAGAGCGACTATAAAAAAGGCATTCTTTTTTTTCAGCGTTGATCTCATTTTACTCATGACCGTCAATGCAGTTTGGATCGTGACTGACTTGTGATTTGAGAGTGACTCGTGACTTGTGACTGACTTGCGATATGGCTTGCGCTTGGCTTGTGCTTGACTTGTGATTTGATTTGGGAATGACTTGTGAATTGGCTTCTGAATGACTTGTGATTTTGCTTGTGAATGGCTTGCGATGAGGCTTGTGATTGACTTGTGATTTGGTTTGTGAATGACTTGTTATTTGACTTAAGACTGACTGGTGATTTTGGCTCGCGACTGGCCGGTGATTTGGCTTGTAGCTGACTGGTTTTGGCATCTGGTTGACTTGTAGCTGACTGATTTTGGCATCTGGTTGACTTGTGGTTGACTGGACTACCACTCTGGAATAACGACACGAGTTTTGATTTCAAATTAGTCGCAGTCTACACCTTCCCTAATCACATGCACGTGCCTATAAAACGGGTTTTTGGATATAAGGTATACGATATAATTCGTCGTCGACGTCATTACCAATTTATTGATTTCAACGGATGCATATTCGACATTATTTGCATTCACTTTGGACACGAACAAAAATATATATCGTGCAGACTTTCTGTAAATAATACCAAGATAGGAATTAAAATTCTCCGGTTTTTCTCCGAAGGAAATATCACCCCCTAAACCCGATTCCCCCGCCGTGGTCTACTTTTATGGCACAGGTGCTCACGAGCCGAATGCAATTACCTAATGAAAACATGGCACACGCGACCAGGGACACCCTTCCCGCCCAAAACCTGGCCCTGTGGAATTCGGTCAAGCGGGAGCCCGCCCGATGCGCGCGGTGGGGTTTGTCACCTTGTACACGTGGTGGACCGACGGGGTAGAGTGGGAGTTTTTTTCCGGGAGGGGAAATAATTCTGGTCGCCCACGAGGATTCTCTCGTCAGATCAACCGTGGAGATTTCTCCATGGATCAACTGAGCATTGACCTTTGGTGCTCGTCGTCGTACCTGACCTAACTCTAATGGACGTTACTGGAGATGGGAGGGCCTGTTTTGGATTGACATTGCAATTATGCAAGGAACGTCATTTTACTTTGTGGTGTCATTCTTGCTCTTATTATAATGCAGTATCTATTATCCTGTTTGGAATCTGGCTTGTCAATCTTATTTCCACACACTCTCAACGCAACCGCTGCTGCTAGTATTCTATCTGCCAAAATACCTTCTGGTCTCCATCTGAACATTACAAGAGAACATTATGGCTACCAATACCACACTGGCTATCATCAATCGTATGAAAGTTTCTGGCGACCATTCTGGCTACAGATTTCTTTTTCTTCCTACGCCATTCTGGTTTCAAATACCAATTTGGCTATCATCTTTATTGTATTTCTGGCGACCATCGTAGCGAATGGATACCTAATTTCGGGCTACTGTTTACCTATTTAACAACCAATCTAGCTACTAATACCATTTAGAACACCTTCTTTCTACACTCTTCTGAGTACATCATTCTTTTGATCGTTACCGTTCCACTACTATACCATCGCTCTTTTTTGTATCCCCTTTTTCACTTTTTGCCCCTGTCATTTTGTATAAATTTCTGCTCACCCGCGAGTATTAATAACAGTTAATTAAAAGAAAAAAGTGACCAACCGGTGCGAGCTAATTGTGCAAGAAGTAATAAATGGTCACACTTCGCGTGACTCTAATGAAAGCCGTTAATCTCGCTTGCAGATGCCTGGATGATTCCGATGGCAATAATAATTCCTTGAATATATATGATCCAGTGTATATGGAAATGTCAGTCACGTTTATTATTACAAACTGGAGGATGTAATATTGGGAAATAGTGCACAGCCTATTATACAGGGTTAATTTAAAACGGTTCAAGCATGCAATGGGTTAATATATTTAAGAATTAAAAAGTCAGTATATTAACACCGAAAATTGTCTTTGTCAGAGAGATATAGGTGTATCAGCTTCCCCTTTATGACTGTGTACCATTTAGTTTAGTATAAAAGGCTTTTATACTAAAATAAATGGTACACAGTCATAAAGGGGAAGCTTTTATTAAAAGCACATACTAAGCTTTAGTTACGGGATATGAAAGGTTACATAGGCGTTGCTTCGTTAGTGCTTATTCTTATTTACGCGTGACCTGATTTACGATGGGCATGAGACAGAAGAATTTCAAATTAACTGCCAAGTCGAGGCTGTCAGTGCTTAGCCATTTTAAGGCTTTGCTGGGGACCCCTACTTTTTTAATCCTTCCCAAAAATAGAACACTGAGGCGGCCCTCGGTTTTAATGCTTATTTCAAATTTATCTGTTGGGTGATTGACTAGATTGAAACTCGGTGAAAATTAGACTTAGAGTGGACATTACAAAAGTATTTTATGTGGTACCTTTTTGTAAATGTTTTACCTTTTTCGATATGTGTTCCGTCCAGGTAACTACGGGGCCAGCGGCATGGAAGTCTTCAAGGACCTCGCCATGAAGGCCGGCATCTGCATCGCCACCTACGACAGCATCAATAGCCACTCCCCACCGGAGAAGTTCGACAAGGTGATCCGGAACCTCCTACAGACGCCCACGGCCCGCGTGGTGGTGTGCTTCTGCGAGGGCAAGACCATCACCAACCTGATGGAAGCCACCAGGAGACTGGGCTTATCTGGGAGGTTTCTCTTCATCGGCAGGTTTGTAAAGTTTCTAAGCACTGACGTAATTATTTGCTAACGTATTGGGGTTACTGTCTGTATACTGTTATATTGAAGTTACCAGGAGATCGGGCCTGTTTGGAGGTTTGTTTTCATCGGCAGGTTTGAAATTTGCTGAGTATGAAATTATTTGTTTATAAAATATCGGGTTACCAGCTATGCTATCATGCAAGATATATATTGATTTGATTGTGATTGGTATTATGCTGATTCTGCTTAGCTAATTCGTGCCAGTCTTGGAAATTGCTCTTCACTGGCAGGTATGTGAATTTACTGATCACAGATTTGTGTGTTTTGCGAAACAGCTTACCAGCTGAAATATCAAACAATATTGCTTATGAAGTTCACGAGCTGTTTCAAATTTACGGACATAAAAAGAAAGAGGGCCAATTTGCGGAATACAAAGTTATTGGTGTATATCATCATTTTGTCTTCCTGAACGTTTGGATGTGCCGCCGCGGCCACGAAAGAAAAGAGATGGAAGAGGCTGCAGTCATCCAGTTATTTTAATGACTCTGGCTCTCCAGGTATTAATCCCTGACGTTATGCAGTGATCTAATGCATATCAGTTATGCGTTACAGGCACCAGCCTATAGATAACCACTGACCTTAGGCAGGGTTTCTCTATACATACAATTTTACATAATAAGAAAGCCAGCTGCCACTTGACTTAAGACTCTGTACAAGTTACAGATGACTACATGATATAGTCAAATAGCTTTTCCATTTTGGACAGTGACATCCAATGAGGCGTACGCAGCTATGGAAGTTCCATGAATACAGCTCTTCAAGTCGATAGAAATTAAGTAATATATAGCACTTGGTGGTATATACAGGACTCCGTCGTTTTGCTCATCGGGATATATCGCTACATCGCCCAATTTTTTGTCTATTGCCTAATTTGACTCTAGAGAAAATATTAACTGATACTTATTTCGGTATTTTACAGTATCATTCATTGTGTTCCAAATAATTCGATAATTCGTAGCGGGTCGTTTAATATGTTCACATTAGTATTCAATTCTGACTGTCCTTTACCGCCGCACCCAGCGCGATCAAATCAGAAAACAGGCTACGAGTTATGCACGAGATGGGGTCGACCTCAATTTGAAACAAAAATAAAATAGCGCCTGTGTACCGGATAAGTGTGATTAGAATGGAAATCGAACGATATATTAAATTTGTTATACCCTTTCCCTGGTTTATGCGCCGACCCGGCCGTACGCACGCTTCACACGAACCCTGGCCGTGTTTTTTACTGAAAAAGGCCAGCCTCGCACGCCCTCAGGCGTTGGAGGGAGTGAGTTCCTTCGGTGTGAAAACACGGTGAGTAATTGCGACACTCCCCATCATATAGCCCGCCCGAGGCCTGCGACTGGACGCTATTGTGGATGGGGCAGGGGGAGAAACCAAAGCAGCGAGATCTATCAAGTGATGTTGTGTTAGTATTCTGCTGAGGTCGATGCTGCCCCTGGCCGATGGTTTGTAGGGGTGAAACGCAGATTTTAGAGATTAGGTCATCAATATGTATTCATGAACTTGCGCTTGCTCTGTCCTGAACCTGAATAGCTGTGGAATGGAAGAAAAACAGCTCTTCGAAATCGGAAGGGTATCATGCCAAATTGGCATATCGCATCGACTTGATCAGGATCTTTTCAATCAGCAGTCTCTATTCATTCAATCTTTCAGACAATTAAGATCAATACCAACATTGATGTATAAAAACGAATTCTCCCGTTCCAAGTTCCGCATAATCTTTTGTACATTTTCGTCAAAGTAGCAAAATCTGCCCGGTTTGCATTTTCTTGCAAGACAGAAGAGATGGACCTCAAAGTTCCTCCAATTCCGCAGGAAATATCAAATCAATTAGGTTTGAAGTAATACAAGAAGCTCTTCCTCGTGGCAATCCCTTTACATGTACTTACTTTATACAGTCTCGACTTGATGTTGAGGCTTTTCATTAATGCCAAGGGTTTTAAAACAGCCACACTGTCATTTCACATTGCTGTAAATAACAGTCAAGTTGCCTCTATAAAAAGGAACTTAGTTTACAGTGAACAAAATGACGAAATGATATTGCAAATTGGCTTGCAAGAAGAAGTAGCATACTATACCGTCAGCCTGATTTTAACCGATGAAAAGGGTCCTTTTTATTTGGGGCTAAATAGTGTTTGGAGTGGGGGGAGGAGCTAAATCCTCCCTTTAACGACGAGATTTATCGTTTAAAGTCATGTACAAGAGCGATAATGTTGGCAGCGCTACACAGACCCGGACATCATGAAACGGAAACGAAATGTGAATCCTGATTTTGAAACCAAAGTAGCCGAGCCATCGTTCGTCACTGTCATCAGATATGTGTTGTCTATAGGCTTGAAATAGTAGCCATAAAGTCCCAACGAGTTCTGGTAATGGCGAAAAAAAAATTCCGCATGACTCATAAGTGTTTAACGAACAATTAATAAATACCTAAGACAGCTTACCATTTCCTATTGGTCGAGAGCCGTCACGTGGCCGGTTTCAAACGGTTGACAAAGACCAGCTGGCTGGTCTTAAACACTTTTCCAGTGTCACATGAAATTTGGACTCATATTAAACACTATGTTTAACACCAGCTCGGGTAATTATCAGCATGGAGACTCCAACTGGTCTTAAAGATAGTGTTTAAAACCGGCCAAGCACACATTTATTCCCTTATTATAGAAAAAAGTAGGCATAGTTATGATTTGTACGAGAATTGAAGGGATTATTTCGCGGTCAGTGAAATTTGGTAATTCTCCCTTGAAGTCAGTGTAAATACATGTACCGTGTTTATTGAAGGAAAAAAAACAGATGAAATTGTATGATTATGTTATGGGCTTTGGTATGAGAACTGGAGTGTTTATTTTCCGGTCCGTGAAGTACGGTAATACGTTCCCCTGTAACTCAGTCAAAGATTAGAGGACATGGTTGTTTTGTAAAAAAAAAATGATCTAGACCAGACGACGTCTCGGAAATGATCGATGATTTGGGGGATTCGTCCAAATGTCAACGCGTCGTGTGTTTGTTGCATGTTCGCGAAAGTGCTCGAAAGCACTTTGCCCTGAGTGAACGATACAGAGATGTTCTGTACGTTCTATTGGCATATCGGGGGGGGGGGGGAGTAGGCTTGTTTCCTTTTTTGGTGAATATTTTCTTTCCAAACATGTTGTGTTTAGCTGCTGTAGCCAACATTTGGTAACTATAGAACAGGCACCAGTACGCTTCAAACCTCATTCATCTCCAATTATTGTTAAAACAAAAGGGTGAGCGCTATTTTTTTTTCCAAAAAATGTTTGGTCGAGTGTCAACACGGGCAGACCCTGTTTCAGAACAAACAACGTGACGTCATCTGAGGAAGGCACAGCTGGAGCACTACCAACATCAGGAAAAGGCACATTTGAATATGCATGAGCTGGGACGATGTGCTTTCTTATGGTCCTCAATAAGTGAATTCCCTATTTCCCAAAAACTCACGATTTGACAAACTGTAGTCACATTGATTGATCGTAAACACGCATTCTTGTCCGACCGAAGCATGAACATGCACAGATTTCACGGCGTGCAAGCGTGTACGTAAAGCAAAACAAAACCCCGCCGAAATGCATCGAAACACGTCAACATAACAACAAATTAAAGACTCCGGGAAACAGTTTGCGTCAGTCGTAATACCTCACCGACTTCAAATGGGACATGTATAGCAATTGGACACACGCCACACTCAGCCCCAAACGCACCACTGCAGTTACCCCGAGACAAACATGGACATGAAGATTGGCTGATGTGGTTGATAAGATTCATCCATCTACCGAGGTTTGCGGAGATTGTAACTGGCCGGTTTCTTGATGACGTACTTGGAGTTTGCCCTGGCAGTGAGTAGGGGGGGGGGAGGGCCTTGGCAGCAAAAGGGCAACAAGTGCGGAGGAGACCCGGGACGCAGGTATCCACGATCGTGTTGAAATAACTCGCTCGCATTTTTTTCGCTCCGTCGTCACAACATCGCGGAGGAGGAAGTCGTGACCGGGCACTGCATCATATTTTCGCTGACATAAATGTGTTAATTTGTCAGCGGGGTGGGGCCGAGATCTAGGTTTTATTAGGTACTGAACTGTGCCATGGCCAGGGGTTGTAGTCTAGTGTTGAATCGCAAGTTATCACAGGTCCGGTCACAAGTAATCGCAAGTTCAATCTTCAGCTAAGCAACAATGAACAGGTGATTAATTTGCCACATTTAATCATTCATTAGCTTGTGACTTGACTTGGGATTGATGACTCCTGATTGAATTGTGATGGACTTGTCTGAAGATTTGTGATGGACTTGGCAATAAAACTATACCCTCTTCTGTTGTCTTGGTAAAGACAACTTTCTACATCCCCCCTTCAAATTTTGTAACTGTATTCGCCTGATCAAAATGAATTCCCCTCCATTGTCATTTTCCTAAAGCCCTTTCGATTGATGCGCCTTGACAAAACATAAATTGGTATTAAAACGGTGCATTTAAACTCCGAGTCTAGCGAGGGTTTACGGGCCCTAATAATCAACAACTGGCAGACATTTCTTTTCATCTGCTTCCAACCGTGTCTTGGGTACCTGAAAGTCCTCCCTCATCACCCAGGAATTACGCACATCCCATCTGCCAATATCGTCTCCTCTCTGGTTATGCCGTCTTCGTCTGCGTTAAACTGAACTCCGTCGGTGTGGATCACATTAAGTAGGTTTATAACCAACGTACATGCCTTTAGTTCCGGTTCACCATCGGGCCCGTGATCGGGTTACCAACCGCGTCAGGTTCTCTTCAGAGCCGCCCGGTCGGTGGCTGATGAGAGCGGATTGACGGGAATGCACAGGCCCTGGACTGCCCGCCTGGCTCCCCCGCCGACTAACGGAGGAGCCCGCGCAACCTTCTCCCTCCCGTCATACGATCATCATCTTCCTGTATACATTGTATATACACACGGCCGAGTATTTTTAGCCCAGTTTGCATCACCGAAGTTCGCACGTAGTTCACGCGAGTGACACAGAGAGCTGAATACAACTGCATCAATTGTTTTGGCAGATTTAGTTTACGACTTTACTGTAAACAAGCCCTAGACCACGCAAGGTTCCACAAAAATCATATGTCTTGTTCTGGTAAATGCAAAGCCCCTTCCAGCTGATGGACATTATTTGATTTGGTACAAATCCGCATCTTCGTATCGCGAGCGTTTATTAAGCTAACCTGTTTGTTACAAATGTGTTTGCAACTTTTCCCCGTCAACGTCCTGTTCAATGTATTATTTATTAATTGCATGTTCCTGCATCGGTCCTTCTGTGGATGTATTAACACATCGGCCAAATTGCGTCATTGAGTTTCCCGCCATCTGCCGACCCGGATCAAAAACGCGCCAAAACAGCCCCATGTGCAAACAGTGCGTCGCAATCACCTAGGTGTACAAGCTGTCGGCACATGAAGGCAATCGGAGGAATGAGCCGGTGATGGCAGACCTTTTAATGTACCTCTTGTCATGAATTATGGATTAGCGAAGCCTGCAAAAGTCTTTCGCAGCTCTGAATGAGGGCAACGGGGTTTTTTCGCGCACCGATTTCCTGCAGGCATTTCCGATACGCCGTGAAGCGTGGTGAATACCCCGCACAAATTTCAATATAACATTCCCCAAATCATGTTTGCGGACATGCTTGTATGAACAATTAATGACTGTATATATTCGCCAGTCCCACCACAACGTAGTCGATACACGCTCATTGTTTCTTTAACATCCTCATCATGTCGGTGAGAAATTTAAAAAATAACTTCTGAGGATAAGGCCTATGGAACGCCCAAAAGAAATTACTTTGATCTCAGTGGAATTTTAACTCGGGACCAACGCAGTGGAGATGGAGATACCTAATTTTTCTACCAATCTGTTGGTATAATGCAGTTACCAATTTACAGGAAACACTAGAGGTGAGGTTTGCTGATGCATTATTGTGTGACTAATAGCTATTGAAATCGATATGGTTTCGGCACATTATAGACGTTACAAAATATAATTGAAATGCAGGAATAACTTACAAGGTACCCAATATTTAAAATTCATCAGGAATGGGCATGGATCACTGAAAATAGATCGAGTTGGCGAAATTTAATCATGCAAACCAGGGGACGTACACGGCACAGCTTTATCCTGCATATCCAATCTGAATAGCACCTTTAAAATGAAACCTATTCAAGATGGATACTAAAGACACAATCCAACCCAACTTCCGTGTACAAAGGAAGACTCCCGCAGGGTTTCATTAAGAAAACTCGTCCTCCTTTTGGTGCATCCGCGGAAAGGAGACCCCGGCTGGCAAACATGTTTTCTTTGCGCGATAAGGAATCCGATAGCCGACCGATTGTGTCGAAACCTTCAGGCTTAAATGGCTCTATTGTAAGGAGGTAATGAAGGCAGCGGGAAACCAGTGTATACATTCACCGCTCGTCGAGCCATGGAGCAGTGACATTGCAGCATTGGTAAACGGAGATTTTCAATGTCAACCTCTATTTGATCCGAACTAGGACCATCGCCAATAATAAAATGTTTGCCCGTGAAAACCAGACACATGACCTCACTTCCTTTTATTGCATATTATGTACAGCATCCAAAAGACCGCCAGTGACACCTTTTGGTAACACAAATCATCATTTTTCCGTCAGAAGCTCCGCCCACCCCCATTTTAAGGAACCTGGAACAACCTTCCTGCGCGCCCTCTTTGTTGCACATGTCTTTGACCAACCAGCCAACCCCAATGGACCAGCTATCATAAAGGGCGCCCGCATCCAAATTATCTTTCCATGACACTTTATTTTATGACGCCAATTTGTACGTGCCAACCAAGTTCAAAGCTGTATATTCCCTCCACATACGTATACATAGGGTTCAGCTTGCGATACGCTCTAACTGGTCAAAATTGATAAACTTCACAAAAGTAGTCTGTTTGAATTCATGATATATATCCCGTGCCTAAGTTAACATTATTTTCTGACTACATGTGAGGAGATTCTGCGATTAATTATGCAATACAAGACTGCGTCTTGACCTCGAGATTCTGACCATTCAGCGGGCGCATTCTATATCGCGTCTTGGGAAACCCGTTGTTATATTTGAAAACGTGGTATCCAAATTGACCAATCAACAGACCACTTTTCTGATCGATATGACGTCACATTTTCTAAAGTCGACATCGATTGGCTTGCGCGCGTGGTCGCATAAAATCAGACGTTTGACCATGGCTCTGCACACGTGAATTTCTGATCCTCAAACTAAGTGCGTTGCGCATCGATGACATTTTGATACGATAGTTCTCAATTACCAATTATTTGCGTCAATTTGACCTGCTCATGTCTTGATAAGGTAACGGTAAAATGATGACGAAGGGACAGCGATCTTTGGGCAACGAGTTCCACAGACACATGTCACACGTGGAAAGAAGCTTATTTGCTTCACCAATTCTCAAGTTCTTGGGGTTATTTTCCTGTCCGCAGTGACGGTTGGGCGGACCGCAACGAGATCGTCAAAGGCGTGGAGCGGGAAGCCATCGGCGGCATCTCCATCAAGCCCCAGACCTCCTACATCGAGAACTTCGACCCGTACTACTTCGCTTTGAGGCCGAACAACCACAGTGTCAACCCGTGGTTCCGAGAGTTCTGGGAGGCCAGGTTCAAGTGTGAGCTGCCGCAGGACAAGAATCAAAGCGTGCTTGAGGAGATCGGACGAAAACACTACCCCAAGAACTGCACAGGTAATAGGACACGAAGACAATCCACGTTGGTATAGAGATGACTTCAGTAAGACATCTTTGACAGTACTCATAATTATAGTAAAATCACCCAATCCTTGACTAAGTAGTTCTTCGTTGAAAACGATCTGCAATATGGGTCCTGTGTGAATGCTTTCATATTAGGGCCATGATTGTAAAGCACATACCTCTACCGCATAGTTGGGCAAGCTAAACCTGAGACTCGTCTTTGTTCCTGATTGTGGTAGCCATTATATCAATGGCTTTCATCCTTGCAATGTGCAACTTTTATTACAAGACAATTGGTTGTCGAAGATAAGAAGACCATTTCGTTTGCAAATAATACATAGGCCTACTCTGTCAATAGAATGCTAGATAGGTTGCACGGAAACATTCATCTAAATGTGTACAAACATCCATCGTCTTTCCTGGAGAGCGTCGGGCGTCTACTTGTGCACGGAATCCATACGATTTGCCTGGTTTGACTTTTTTGCAGGAAGGGAGACCCTAGCCAAGAACTACAGTCAGGACACCAAGATGGGTTTCATCATCAACGCCATCTACACCATGGCGCACGGCCTTCACGATATGCACCAGGCCCTCTGTCCCCCTGACACCGTGGGGCTGTGCCCCGAGATGAAACCCGTAGACGGCACGGTGTTCCTGCGGCATCTCTTCAATGTCTCGTTCCGCGGAGTGTCCGGGAATGAGATTGAGTTTGATAAGAACGGAGATCCGTCCGGCAGGTAAAGTATGGACCGCACAGGAAACAGATCGCTTGACACTCACGGAGGCCCCTAATAATTATGGCAAAATATTAAAACCACGAATAAAATTTTAAACTTGCTGGGGTCGCGAGAGTCTCTTATATTATTTGTGTCGATTGAAATTGACGAGTTAATATAATTTTAGATATTCAGGCGTAAATCCATACTTCTCATTTGTTAAAATTCACATTTATGCTATTCGTTAGCATAGTTTTAGCCAATTAAATTCATGATTTTCGTCTTCAAAGTGGAATAAATAAAGATGAATAATGCAACACACAATACAGAGAGACGCATTCATCAATCAGACCAGTACTCCCAATTCAAGGATCTAATATTTCATCCACACAGCCATGATGAAAACACGACATGAAAATCGTCTCAATGTGTTCAGTTTCGTTGTTATTTCCTTTTAATGATACCACAATGTAGGTGACATTGTTATAAGTTCAATTTCAAACATCATTCTTTTCTTTCAGATACGATATTTTCAACTTTCAACTCCTCCCGAACGGCAAATACAAATACGTCCCCATCGGTGATTGGTCGGCCGGGGTGTTGGAGATGAACGACACGGCTATGATGTGGAACAACGCCTCTTCTACCCCGGCTACGTCGTTCTGCAGCGAACCGTGTCCCAAGGCACACATTAAGGTAAAAACGACAGTATTAAAATGTGAGCGATTCGTATTGGTGTAGAAATTCTGGTTTACCCGCATTGTATCATTGGAGCTTTACCTGCTGTAATATTTAATGATAATTATTTATACACTTATATTGCACAAATTCCATGTGATCAAATGTTCATCAGGAATGAGATCCTGCTGCAGCTAGAGGGCCGCGCAACATGGTCTCTACCTTCACAGGTACCCATTATGGGTGAAGAGAGGCAATCGTAGTAAAGTGCCTTGCCCAAGCGCACAAGCACCATGTTCCCTGTCTGGGTTCGAACACAATGTACTATACCACGGCACACGAGTCGAACACCGTAACCGTTGGACCACAGCGCCCAATTACATGTATAGGTAAAAGTCAAAGCTGTATTATATATGTAGACATTGCCCAACGGTTTTTGGAACAATATGGTCAAGTATCAAACAATTCGTAGAATTAAGTCATGATAAATATAACCCCAAGTATATTTGTTTTATTGGCAGGATATCCGAGATAATGTTCACTGTTGCTGGGCGTGTGTGCCTTGCAAAACCAACCAGATCATGGTGGACGAATTCACCTGTAAGGAGTGCGCGAAAGGGCAGTGGCCCAATGAGAACCTGAGTGGTAAGTCAAATGGTTTGTGGTCAACCCATGAAAACTTTCTGTTGAAATGAAACAGTCCATTAGTGTTACAAAATGCCAGAAAGTTTCAAACAATTGCACAATTGGTTTTTCCGGTGAAGCCTTTCAACTCGGTATTTTGATTAAATTGCATCGTGTTACACTAGGATTTCCCGTACTGGTTGAACTCATCATATTAGATACAAAAATTGTGTCTAGTTAAGTTAATTTCAATGTCTGATTCTGCGAAGTACCTGCGGATTTCTGCCTATCATCTGATTTTGGCATGTTCGGAAGTTTGTTGGTACGTCATATTCACTAATAAGCATGACGTCATTGGATCAAGTACCAATCACTGAAAACATACATTATTAATCCTCAGAGAGTAACGCCAAGCACTGATCATACAGTGCCTTTCGTTGAAAGGCCAAACCTCAGTATTATTACTTCCTAGCTTTACTTTTTCAAAACAAGTGCGAATATTGTACCATTTTTTGTTTTCGTTCCTTCAGATTGCACGGAGATTGAGGCCGAGGTCATGCACTGGGGAGACATCGAGGCCATTGTTGCCGTCACCTTCTCCTGTCTAGGCATCTGCTTCACTCTATTCGTCCTCGTCACCTTCATCCGCTACAACGAGACTCCCGTGGTCAAGTCCTCCAGCCGGGAGAACAGCTACATCCTCCTGGTGGGCATCCTGATGTGCTTTCTCATGACCTTCGCTTTTATCACCATCCCAACAACTCTGGTCTGCTACATCCGGAGGATCGGCCTGGGCTTGAGCTTCTGTATCTGCTATGCGGCCCTTGTGGTCCGGACCAACCGCATGGCGCGGATCCTGGCAGGCTCCAAGAAGAAGATTATCACTCGGAAGCCCCGCTTCCTCGGAAGCACCGCCCAGGTGGTCATGACCTTCATCGTTATCGGTCTCCAAGTCATCATCACTATCGTCCTGATCGTCATAGAGCCTCCAGAAGCAGTCTACGACTACCCAGACCTTCGCCGAGTCCGCCTGATCTGCAACACCACGACTCTGGGTATCTTAGGTCCTTTGGGCTTTGACTCCTTCCTGGTTGTCTTGTGCACCCTCTACGCCTTCAAGACCCGCAACCTGCCCGAGAACTTCAACGAGGCCAAGTACATTGCCTTCACTATGTATACCACCTGTGTGGTCTGGCTGGCCTTCATCCCATTGTATTTCGGTGGCAGTGAGATGCGAACCATCGTGGTCTGTTTCGCGGTCAGCCTCAGTGCCACAGTGGCTCTGGCTTGTCTCTTCTTTCCCAAGACTTACATAGTCTTGTTCAAGCCGGAGAGGAACCGTCGGAGCTCCATGAAGACGTCCAGTTTGGTCCGCATGCACGTGGGCAGTTTCAGCGAGCTGGCGCCGCTGTCTTCACAGAAGACTAATAGCGTGAACGGTTCCTTGGATATTGGAATGGGGCGGTGAGTGGCTTTTCAAGATTGGCTAACACAAATTTATAGACACATCACTAGTCCATCACGAGTCAATCACAAGTTAATCCCAAGTCAATAACAGGTTGATCTAAGGCCATCCAATGTCAACCCAATTGACAAGCTATTCAAAGAACTGTGATTTCCAAAGAACTGATTTCCAAAGAACTATGATTTTCAAAAAACTGTGACATAGACATTCTTCAGGCACTTTCGTTCCCTATTACTTGCGATGATTTATATCCGAATTAGTTGTGATTAATTTGGAATTGAATAGTGATTTACTTGTAGGTGACTTGCGATTGAATTTGAGATAATACTTGTTGTTATCTCGACTACAACTCCTGCAAGCATCTCTCAACAACATCTATCTTTGTTATTTTCCGTACGAATCAACAAAACTAAAAACCAAAACAAGAATGCTCCGGCAGTAGGCTTCATCCTCCTGGGTACAAAGAGTGTATGTTTTTTAATTAATTTTTTTTTGGGGGGGGGATTGGTCAATAGATTCAATATCTGAATGGCGATAAAAAATTTTGATATTAAAATGTTTTAAGAAATTTATTCGTTTAAATGAAGATCATACTTATTTTCCTTTTTACCATAATGCACGTATCATTACTTGAGGTTCCAAACCGGTTTCTTTTCTACCAAATTTTCAGGGATCGAGTTGGCCGTAGTCCAGGATTCAACCGCAAACGACCCCCCAAGGAGAAAGGTTTCTTTAGCGGCATGCGGCGCCGCAAGCGCGGCTACAACCAGGTGAACATGATGAAAGCAGTGGAACGGGACCGAATCCAACGACGCCGGCAGCCGGTCTACCGCTACTCCCCGTCAACCGAGAGCCAGCCCCGGCGAATCAGCGGATGCTTGGAAGAGCAAATTCCCGAGCACAACGGGGCAACTAAGGCCGAGGAACCGGTGTGGCAGACATCCCAGTCGAGCCCAAAGATCGCTGTGGTACGGCCCCGCACGGACCAGTCCACCACCAACTTACAAGAGGTTTACATCGAAAGTGCACTTAGGGACGCATCATCTCCGGGTAGCATTCCACCGCTGTTAGCAAGCAAAGAGGAAGCACTACTACGGAGGAACTCTGGCGCACGTGCCGGCAAGTCATCAGATAGTGTGTACATAGAGATGGACCGGGAACCAGTTCGCGATACGCGAGACTCACAGGCTGACGCGCGCGACGAGCAGAGCGAAGCGCACCCGCTCCTGACAGATGATGATGACAATGATGCTGACGTCTCGCGGAGACGAGACTCGAGCCCGGGGCTCCGTCTAGACATTCCTCAGATTATCACTTCATTCCACGGCAGCAGTCAGGACCTGACCGAGCCCCAGGTTGGGCAAATGCGGAACTCAACCCTAGACGCGCCCCCGGTCCACAACAAGAGGCGCGTGTCAGACAGTCAGGGTTTGCCCCGCCCCGGGGTCAACCCTTTTCAGTTTTTGCCTCGCCGTCGTTCGCACGGTTCCCTGGAGGGTAAACCCAGCGTTCCTCTATGCAGTGCGCCGCCTTGTAAGCATTCTCTCAAACACCGCAAGCAGTTGGCACGATCGGCCGAGGTGCTGTGCCGACAGGTAATTGGGTTTAGTAACCCCCTACCCACCTCCTCCACCATTTCTTCATTTTCTCTTACGTCCCCATCGCAAGCACCGTATTCCAAACCAGCGAGGCCCTCCTCTGCGATCGACCTGGTGCCTTCGGGTCCAAATCTCCAAGAAACGGAGCTCAACTCCCCTCCACCACCGAAGTCAATCGCAACAGCGTCCAACAACAACAATTTGGAGCCGACCGAGTTCGGCAAGAGGACAGAACTTGACAATGCGCCGCCAACGGTGGAGATGGCAATTCGACCAAACAAACCACCCGACACGAACGCAAACACAAATGGTCTGATTCCAGACTCAAGAGCTGAAGAAGCGTTTCAGTCAGGCGGTGTTTGGAACGAAGCCAAGCTGGAAGAATTGGCAAGTGGACAAAACACGCCGTTGAGGACGCTTTCCGAAATCAGATCGTCAAATGTATGACTGGCACTCAAGGCGGTTTTTTTTTATTTTAACTTGACAGCTCAGTACGTTTATGCTTTGTACTTATACCTAAAACTTTATTGAATGGAAATTCTCTTACTTTAGTAAATTCCGTTACTACCATCACCACTCAAATCCGCCAACCACCTCATACGTGCGCGTGCCTTCACCAAAAACACTACTATGTAGGCCTAACAGCAAGAGGATTTTGTCATTGTGGCTGTACATTTTGCGCCATCACGTGGGTATGGACTATGCACCATCGGTTTATTAAGCTTGTGTGGTAAATGCCATGCCTCGATAATTTTCATACCACAAGTATATATATGGAGATTGTGTGGCTGAATTAGTGCAATAGATAAAGTCTATGCCGATCTGAACTCTTTATACCAAGATCAAACGACCATTTTCCTTGGTAAGCCTATAAAAAGATACATAAAGCTGGTCATTTGTAACGTGTGCTGTAATTCTTTTGCATTCAGTTTCAAACAAAATAGGCCTATGCATAGGTTGCATGAAGACACTTTATTTTCTAAACGCAGACATTGTAGAAAGCTTGTATAAAATCGATTTCAATGTGTTCACTTTTGGGACACAAAACACTGTTGTCATCAGCGAATAACGTCGCGTCCACTTACGCGAACACTTCTAACGTTTGCCAACGTTTAATTGGCAACGTTCGCTGAGGTGGAACCGTGTACCACAAACGTTGGCGAATGTTATAGCAACAAAAGCGAACGGTCTGTCCAATTCGTTCTGTTATCTTTACCAAAATGGCTGACTCTCTGAGCGCTACATGCTTCTGTAAGGAATGAAATTAAACCTCTCTGCACCAGAAAGGTGGATAAATTACACACACACAAAACAATGGTTCGTCTGGAATAACTTTAAAGAATTTAAAAAAGGCGTTCTCATACACAGTGCTAGTGACATGACATCAGTTTTTAACAGTTATTCCACTTGGGGTTGACACGTTCGCGGTGACTAGCTAACGTTCGTAGCTAACGAACGCAGCCAGGGTTGCTTATAAATGGCAGAATCTCCGTTAGCATTGACGTTGTCTGTATTCGGAATAAACCTTTACTTAATAAATAAATGTAAAATATCTAAAAGCTACTTAATTAATAGTTCATAAACAAAGATATTAAAATACGAATCTTACTGCCAGTTGAGATAGTGTGACTAATGTTGCAATAAATTCAAGTATAAAATGTTACCATGATGTCTGCTGGTATGCTCCAATTGTGGTGTTTACCTCCATGCGTGATATCGTTTACCTTTCACTTTGGGAGTGTTTTTGGATAGTTTCCGCCCGAGCATCGCCGACAAATATTGAATTGAGCAACAAAGGGAATGCTCACTTTACAGTCTTGTATAGTCGAGTCCATTGCAAGTAGATCACAAGTCTGTCCACAAGTCCACTGGTCAAAAGCAACACAAGAAGTAAAGAGCGCGTTTGTCAAGGTTGATTAAGACAGCTTGTGACTTGACTTGAGACTAAAAGGCTTGTGATGGACTTGTGGCGGACTTGTCATGCATTTGGGAGGACTGTCATGGACTTGTCATGGACTTGTGATTGATTTGGGAGGACACTCTTGAAACAGTTCTTGAACCACTGTGCCGATTATCAAATATAGCAAGTTAAGGACTTTATCCGACGAGTTGGTAAACGGTCGAGTTTATAAACGGTCGAGTTGACGCGACGTGTGAAATCCTTGCCTATCCCCAAACTAGCCATCGATCATAAACATAATGCATTTGGTCTTTTAGTCTTATATATTTTGCCATTCCCTGTAACAAACAAATAACACTGCAAACATATCGAGAGCTACATCGTTTGGTGAGTTAGAACTATGTGAATATTTTTATGAACAGAAATTCATCAGCTTCCAGTGGAACCATTTGTACTAACTTGAACCAACAAACTTCCTTTCGGGTTTTATAAGTTTCAGTATACTTCAGTATATTTCATCACAGTGCATCCAGAATCCAACATTTTCCGGGGCCTTGAAGCGGGCCCCTGGCCCTGTGGCCCCACGCCGTAAGGGCTCGGAAAATAAAACAAAACATACACGAAGGAATTTACTAAATGTAAGAAAGCAGCTTTGCAACAATAATATTTAAATACGATGCCATGCATAATGATACAATTCTTTTTCCAGAATTAAATGGAACCAAAAATGGAGATTAAACTACAGCGTTTTCTACTTTTCAGTACAGTTAAACGTTTTAAGAGCAACAGTATATTCTAAACAAAATAATGAAATAAATTGTCTTTATATTCTCAAAAAACCTTTGCTAAAAAAAGTCACATGAAAGTGACCAGGAATCGCCTCAGATTGCACCACAGAGCATCCCGTATTCCAAATTAAGCCACGACGTAAAGGCTTTGCGCTCCACTTTCGCATTAATTTTGTCCGTCCTTTAGAAATTCCAGCACCCCCTGGCAAAAGTTTTTTTCCAGCGGCAGTGCCCACCACTACCTGTTTAGTAACCATGTTGTGCTCTCTTAGTAATGATATTCTTCATTCGTCAGTGCAGAGATAGGGGGAAATTTAATCGGGGTACTGGACGGGAAACCCGGGTAACTTCGTTGACTCTTCGGGGTGACGAACTCTAAAGTCTAGCACCGTCTCGAGGCATTGCAAGGTCACCGGGTCGTCCTGGTAATAGAATTTATTGGCAAACAGATGCGGTTGTTTCCGGACATAGTGTAGATCTCCGATTGTGAGGATGCAGACCTCGCGCACAAAAGTGCCACGGCATGTATGCGGTCTACTCGAGTACCAATTGACGTAACGGATATTCAATGGTCTGATTAGTTCGGGTGCTTGAGGTACACCTCCAGGAACGCCCGGTGCCCGTTGCAGAGTAGCCCAGTAAGTCTCATCTGGCATCTTTGTGTTTCTCGTCCAGTGCAGCAAGTCGGTGGCGACTGAATCCCTTAAGATGTAGTTGACGAAGTCCCTTTTGACAGCGTAGTAAGATGAACCGGTGTAAACCTTCAGTTGGTGGGGTGCAGGACTCATTCTGCTTTCAGTTTTGATAACGGTTCCGTTTCGCACAATGAATTGAAACTGGGTTCTATTTCTCTTCTCCAAGTTGTTTGGGACAATGGATCGGATACCATTGTGGCCGTTGTACGCCTTTAACTGCCGGACAATCTCTAGGTTGGTCTTCAAGGGAAAGTCTTGCCCGCATAGGTTCATGACGTACCTCCACTGGTAACCGGACGCGGGTTGTTCAGTCAGATCCCTCATGCAGTTGATGTTGGACAGCAGAAGCGTAAGCCCGGGGTACTGCACGTCTTCGAGTTTAGAAGCTATGAAGACATTAGCGAAGCAATTTGCGAGACCGTCCATCGCTTGATGAAACTCCTTGGATGATTTGGAATCCGGGTGCAGACAGTAAATGTTCTGCGGCTGGTAAATCGCCCTCAATAGTCTCTCCACTTGGGCAGATCCCTTATGAATTACAATGATATAAGCTAGCGGGAAACTTGCCTCTTCTTCCGAGTTAGGTATCGTAGGATAACCTCTCTGTCTCGTAAATAATGCACACTCATCCGTCCATGTCACCACTGTGCTATCCGAAGGCATCAAGGATTCCTTCTGTCGCTCCTGTCGTATTTCTTCGCTCACATTCTTGATAACTGTCCCATTTCCAGCAAATAGACCAGAGCAGTTGACATCCCAGTGTCTGTGATACTTCTGGTTTGTTGGGCGTTGACCAACGGGCGCGTAGTACAGCGATCTTATCACACTTCTATTCTGAATCGCACGCGTTAGTATCACCTCTTCGACCCGAAAACTGTCAGTGGAGTTCCTGTACGTCGGGGCACGTGTTACCGCATGGTTGGTAAGATCACCAGTTTGGTTATACGCGAGATATATCGCAAGAAGTAGTGCCAGCATCACGAAACCAGACGGCTTCCTGCGCGCAAAGACACACTTCATTGTGCACACGGGCGGCGTGTTGAAATTACGTCCAAAATGTTAGATTGGATCGTGATAGTTTGTTAATGAACGGGTACAAACACTCAGGCAGACTAACCGCACGATGCATTGGAGTCTCCTTGCACCTTCTGAACACAATTTGCACAAACGACTGACGTGGCATTTGCCCACACATAGCAGAATAACAGGTGTTGATCACTACCTGTCGTTTTGTGCATTTGTCATTGAGGTTTCGCCTCAGTAAAGATCTTTTATTAACTTGACCTATACGAGTTACACAAAGCAGTCGAATTGCATTCATGCAGAAAAGGTTATATTTTGTTATGAATGCCATTATAACGTGTGTTCCTGCAGTGGGCCTCCCGAACCCAGAAAGAAAGGGTTATAGGTAGGGTTTCGTTTGAATTAGCAACAAGAGTGCTCAAAATTAAAAGACGGGTGCTTAACAACTTAAACTTGATGAGGTTAAAGCTCAGTGAATGCCGTAAATTCAGAGAAATAAATATTGCAGGTTCTCGATTTCAATTAAAAACTGGCCGACTCATGTTTTGAATTGCGCCCGAAATCAGCGTCCGGGACTCGTTCTCATTCAGCCGATTGCCAGTTACGCGATGTCACGCACTGAACTGACAAATAATAGCAACCACGCGCGCGTGTGCGTCGTGTCAACACTTGCGCGCACCCATTCACGGATTCGCCCAATTACAAACCAACTTCAAACGGAAATTTCCAAAAACTAGTCACTTGACGCATCTTTGGAAATGGCCTTCTTTTGTTGTTTTCTTCAAAATGACAGCATGCCAGAAAAAATCATTTCGCAGGGAGTTTATTGCCATTACTATTTTTAAACCAAGTAAGCTTTTCAACGATAATTTCGTCAGTTTAACATTTTGGATAACTGCAAAAAAATGATTTACTATTCCTTTAAACACTAGTGGAATGAAACACAGTGGAATGCGAATTTTCAGAAGCGCAAGTTCGTGGTGTGATTTATCCACAATTCTCAAAAAATTACCAGCGCTGATCACTAACTTGACTTAATCGTTAAGCTACATTTTAAAACAAATTTTATCAAACAACATTATACACAAATGGGTCAATTCAAACAGAACACTTGTCGTTGTATTGTCATTTTGTCATTGCCATTGTGTATTGTAGAGATCTTAGACAATATTTTAATATTCACATTTCTACTATTTCAAATGCACCCTTCACTTTGGACCCGTCACTTAGCCTATATAAATTCCTCTGGTTCAGTAAGGCCGGTGATTTTATAGAATTACAGTGGAAAGAGATTGACAACTGAGTGTTGTAATTGCATTCATGTCAGCGGAAAAGATGGCCGCAATATAATTCACTGGCTCGACATCCTGGAGAAAGAGTTCGACAAAAGCTTTGTCGACCTGGATATCCTGCTTGGGGAGATCGACCCGGACCAATGCGAGATCACCTACGAAGGCAGGCGGAAGATGACGGCCCTCAGGGCCGCTTTCGCCCAGCTTTGCCACAAGGGGGGCAAATCAACAACGGTTGTTGGGGCGGGGGTTGATGATGCCATCTGACCACGGAGGCCTTGTTCAAACAGGTATACTATAGACATTAGATGTCTATGGTATACATATACGTGACAGTAGCAGCATTTAACGCCAATTTCTATTTAGTATGAACTGAAATATTTATACGGTTTGTAATTGTTGGTGGGCAGGCAGTATGAGCACAACGCCCGAAAAGTGGGGAATTTTGTTCCCCCTTCCAACGGGATTATTATATAATAATATAAGCTGATTTAATGTAAGCTGACTGAAAGATCCATGACGAGATGTACTTTAGAATTTGTCGATGGCGTCCCACATAGCTTTAGTTTGATTCATGGCCAGCGGATCGTTGCTGTAGTCCAGACTGTCCGCCTCAAACATACCAACACCGCGTAGGTCTTCCGCCCGGGCGTAGTCGTAGCGCAAGGCGAGACTGGCCGGGTCGTCGTACCAGAGCTCGTGGGTTTGCCCCGAGGCATCCTGGGAAATATTCAAAACACATGTGACTTCTGTGTCATTTTCTCGGAGCCTTACAATTATGTATTGGTGCGTTTATTGAAAAGAATGCAGGCCTACGTTTCAACTGCAATTACATTTTAGACTTTTTCATTGAATTTGTACTTCATGATATAGACAGACGATATATTGACGGAATTTTCATGACGTCATTATAACAGGCATGAGCTAACTGCTGTTCAAATAAGCAATCACGACATTTGGTATATATTTACATTATGTGGGTTGTTTGAAGATGGAAAGCTCGCGGATTTTTACCTAACAAGCTGGCAAACTGTCAAAACAGCTGGTCAACCAGTATTAATATGCACAGCCATCATTGAACTATATTTATATATATAAATAAGGTGGTGACGCAATGAATACTGTGCATTCAATTAAGGTTCAACACACTACTCTTATACCAAGTGATAGGCGTCCATGAAGATATGAACTCACTAACAGTGGGCTCAAGGTACGCTCAACTTCTTTTCGAAAACAGAATGAAATAGGACACAAACCTTGTAATTAAAGTAGGGCGACTGGAAAAGCTCGCTAAACAAGCGGCCAGTTGAGGATTTCGGAAGTAGCTTCATAATGTCTTTGTATTGAATCTGCGTGACTGACCCAGAACCAACTCCAGGTTTCGAGAGGGTCAGAGTTCTGTTGACAAGGCATACGTCGTCCTGAAAATAAGAATGAAACACGACATCTAGAATGCAGGCAAAAATAGGGGAAGAAGCTCGCTACAAACTAAAAATCAATCTCAATACATTGAATCAAAACCACCGCTGTAACATCAAACACAATTAAGTGGCAATTAAGGAAGGAAATTTAACTTCACCAAAAAAATTAACATTCTACCCGATGGAAGGCGACCACTGAATGGTCGGAATCTCGAGGTCAAGACGCAATCTTGTTTTGAATAACATTAATTGCCATTTCTGGACCATCGACTAGTTAAAACCTAAATTGATGATAATCACCAAAAACTGGTGTTTTGAGATCTCGGAATTGTCTTTCTTACCGGCAAAAGCTCCACGCACGGACAATCGTAGCCGTACCACGGGACACCAAGCACCATCTTGCTGCTAGGTACCCCATATACAACCTTGAGCAAATCCACACCTGAACATTACAAAATAATTCAGACACACGAAAAACATCAATTCGAAATATTTAAAGGAATAGTTTGTTCCGTTCCGTAGATGACTGAATATCACAGCTTTAACCAATATTGTCCCACTCCGTTTATGAAAACTGTTAGGTCAACCTGGGGTTCTGTCTATGACAGGTGCCCTTTTATGTCCTTTTATGTAATTGAATGTACAAAAATGTTCCATTCTGCCTTTAATACACAATGTGATCATCCTATGCAAAATTTACCACAGGATCTTTCTTTCAAATACAGGATTGCTTTTTCAACAGGAAGTAGTCGTGGCTTATGGAAAACAGTTCCAAAAAGCAGAAGTCGACTGTACGAAAACGTCCATTCTTTCAACTTTATTTATACTTCTATAATGGTTGTTTCAAAATAGCGGAGTGAAAAAGAAGCCACTGTTAAAAGTTTTGTATTCAACTCACCAAATTTGATGACAGAAAGCGGAGAGTTGGGCAAAGCCACCGGCCCAGCCGCGAGAAAGTCGTAGTCCATCAGAAAAAGGAAGTCACATGCTTCGGCCAAGGCTGTGTAGTCGTAGCAACGGCCGAGTAAGAAGCAGTCTGGTACCCCGGCTATGTCAAAAGTTATCTTGGAAGAAAATTACAGTAGGTTTAAAACGAACCCGAAAATAATTGTCGTCTATTATACAAACCGGAGTAATTGTGAAATTTTGTACTGGTGGGCTCATAGGTGTCGCGGGGGGGGGGGCGCAAAGGGGGCGGGCCCTGGAAAAGCACGCATCCATGGAGTCGAGCGCTTTTTTTTTGCTATCAGCTCATCCAAAGTTGGAGACCATAATGATGTTCTGTCAAGACTTTGGTATCTCGAATCTCGACGTCGCCATATTCACAGCTCTTTACTATCATAGGGCAAAAAGTATGCAATTCATACATACCTGGGCATTTGGATTGTAGGCTTTGAAGGCCTGCGCCGTCTCCTTGACCAAATCGACTACGTAATGCGCATGCTCAGTGGAGACTTCGTATTCGATATCAAAGTTCACGCCGTCCATGTGCCAGCTCTTAGCCTGGGCAACCTGTTGCTGTATCCATGCAGTGCGGGCAGCGGGATTCGTCAGGTTAGCTGCTGGATACACAACTAAATAGAGAGTGGCAAATGAATGACTGTCAAGATTATGTCGATTGTAGTATTCAGTAAACTCAGTTTTGCACTTCAAGGCGCTCCATACAAAATAGATCGAACGTTTGAAATAAAGGTCGCGGGTCAGGCGGCCTATCTGCGTCAAGCAACACAAATCTTTGTGTGCAGTGTTCATGTTATTCAAAGTTTGTCGATCAATATCAGCCACATGTTCATGCCTACAACCATCACCGTTTTATGAAACAAATCTTAGTCTTTCAAAATGGTTAGATTTTTAAAGACTTTTTAATATGCACTACCACGAGGGCGCTATAGGGTCCACCAAAGCCCAAACCATATCACACCCTCCCAATATAGCCTCCAAAAAGCTCATAGGCCTCAGATGTGTTTTAATTAATTATCATTTGACACAGTACTGTAGTATCAGAATAGATTGTAGACATTGTAATGTGTTCAGTATTGTTGTGTGAATACGGTCTTATGATTTTTGGTCCCGTTTCAGAAAAAAAATAGGGTTTTTATATAGTATTTATCGGAGTACCTGCTAAGACAATCCTGGCCCCCTTGGAGTGGGCGTGGCACATGAGTTTCGGATCGTACTTGATGAACATCCCCACTGTGGTGATTTTCGACCAATCGTATTTCTGCCAGTTGCTGTCTTCCACAACGAAAGCGAATAGCTGTAAAATTGCAATAATATTCTTCGATTAGGTCGGACCAAATCATTACAAATCGTGTGTGTGTGTGTTACTGAAAGGGCACTATAATATTTATGTAATTGCTTGTCCTTCTCTCACTTTGTGCCAATAAACTAATTATCATTTTGTTACCAATTAAAACAATTACATAATGTACTACTAGGCATGTAATAATTCCCTAGTCATTACTATAGCACTTGGATGTGGCATGACAGAGAGAAATACACCAGCATTTCTGAACACATAATACCGTCCGCTTTCATTATTATTTCGGCAACTTTTACCACTTAGGGGGAGAATTGGGTTTGGGGTGTTTTGAGAGGGGCACAAATGCTTCCAAAGACACTTAATTCCCACACCACTCCAATTGTTTCAGGTTATAGTACGGCAATGTTTGAAATAAAATTTCGGGAATCTGTTGGCCAGAACCATGCAGGAATAAAATGTAGGGGCCTATGCATAACTTGAATGTAACAAATCATAGGACCTTATACCATTCTGACCCCTATTATAAAGTTACCTCTTTCCGTGGCGGTGTTGTGATCAGCTCACATTGCGACGGGTCGGTGCACGGGCAGTCCGCCTCGACCGGCGCGGTGGCACCGTGCCGTAGACACAGGCAGAGCAGCCATAGTGCCGGTAGAATACCACTCAAAACGCGCAAATGACGGCCTGAAACCATTTTGCGAGCCCAGTTGTGTGGACTTGCAGTGTAACTACCCAGAATTACCTTCGAAGTGAAGTTAATGCTTCAGAGTTCAATCATTATTTGAACAGTATACGCCGACTATCAAAATTCCCCCAAAATATGGACGCCTTCTCTTAACTCGTGACCAAAGTTCCTGTAGCGCCGCTTGCTCGTGACATCGATCGTTCTATTTGCTTTGCAAGATATACAGTTGAACCATCAAAGTGGGCTGAACTTTTGTTACTTTGTATTATAACATTAATTATGTTCCTTGTTCATTGTAAGCTTCTTCACATAATTTTCAGGACAGCCTGTTAAAGACATTCCCGTGGCATCTCTCTAAATTGTACGGTGACTTTAACATACTTATAGAGCACGTGTACCGTTTACTTTTTACAGCACAACAATGGCACGAACTTTTTAGTCTGCCAAAACAAATGAGGACTTTGGTCAAGTTGGCTTTCTACCGATATATGGTGACAGTGTCCAGATTGGGTTGAATCAACTCTTTTCAGAGTTAATTTGAGATCCCCTTAGCTGACCCCTGACCCCTACACTCGTTTCAAGCACTCTACCAAAGGGCAGGATCTTCGAGCTCTATTTATGATATTTCTTGGACACGGATTGCTTTGCGATTACTTCCCATGAGTTTGTTCAAGGGAATAGCTTTTATCCTTTCGCTCGTCCCCACCGCCCTCCTCCCAAGGGCGCTGGTGGTGGCTAAGTCGCTTGTACACAAATCTCTACCGAAACGCAATGCATTGTGGGCAGCTTACTGCGAGAGGGCGGCACAGAATGCACCTAGGCCTACATCTTGTGTGAAAGGGGCATACACACACGGAAAAACTGTCCCGCGTCTGCAGCGGGCAAACAGTTTGTCCAATGAAAATGAGAACTCGTTGACCAGGCTGGTCATGGGTAAACAAAAACCGTCCAATGAGAACTCGAAGCGATTAGTACCCACTCGTCCTTGGGTTAAGGAGATGAGGGCGAGCGAACTTTCATCAGTGCCGTCAATATGATAACGTCGGTCAGGTGGGAACCAGCGATGTTAATGCGACCAGTGCGCAACCCTTGACGTATGACCCCAAATAACAGCGCCACCAAGCGTCTAAAACGATGATTTGTACTCATTCGTTTTTGTCGTTATTACGTAATTTATTTATTTATGTAAAAAAAACCTACAACACAGAAAAACAGACCTGAACCGGGGCGTTTACTTTCCGTGGAAAAACACCCCCCCCCCCGTTAAAAAAATCCTACAAAACCAAACATTCTCAAAATGTCTGTCATGTGCAACCGGTGCATCACAGGTATAATCACAGAGCAAGAAATTTAATAACTTCATTTCTTAATTAAAACAAATTATAAACACCTTCTGAATTTTTGATTTACAAAACAAGTTTAAAGTTTTCAATTGTTCAATAAAACATTAAAATGTTTGTCATTCTTTTGGATATTAAAAAGCTTCTACCCTTGATTACTTCGGACAATATTCTAAAGGAAGAGGTAAGGCCCAGTAAGGCCGGTGATTTTTATAAAATTACAGTGGAAAGAGATTGACAACTGAGTGTTGTAATATGCATTCATGTCAGCAAAAAAAATGGCCGTAATAGAATTCACTGGCTCGACATCCTGGAGCAAGAGTTCGACAAAAGCTTTGTCGACCTGGATATCCTGCTCGGGGAGATCGACCCTGACCAATGCGAGATCACCTACGAAGGCAGGAGGAAGATGACGGCCCTCAGGGCCGCTTTCACCAAGCTTTGCCACAAGGGGGGTACATCAGCAACGGTTGTTGGGGCTGGGGTTGATGCCATCTGACCACGGAGGCCTTGTTCTAACAGGTGTACTATAGACATTAGATGTCTATGGTATACACATACGTGACAGTAGCAGCATTTAACGCCAATTTCTATTTTAGTATGTACTGATATAGTTATACGATATGTAATTGGTGGTGGGCGGGTCGTGTGAGCATAACGCCCGAAAAGTGGGGACATTTTGTTCCCTCTTCCCACGGGATTATTATGCTGAATTAATGTAAGCTGACTGAAAGATCCATGACGAGATGGACTTTAGAATTTGTCGATGGCGTCCCACATAGCTTTAGTTTGATTCATGGCCAGCGGATCGTTGCTGTAGTCCAGACTGTCCGCCTCCCACATACCAACACCGCGTAGGTCTTCCGCGCGGGCGTAGTCGTAGCGCAAGGCGAGGCTGGCCGGGTCGTCGTACCAAAGCTGGTGGGTTTGCCCCGAGGCATCCTGGGAAAAATTCAAACGCACGTGACTTCTGTGTCATTTTTCTCAGCGAGCCTTACAATTATGTATTGGTAGGTTTATTGATACGAATGTAAGCCTACATTTCAACTGAAATTAGGCCTACATAGAGTTTTTCATTGAATTTGTACTTCATATATGGTAGGTTGGACGATAGTATATTGACGGAATTTTCATGACGTCATAATAACAGGCATGGGCTGAAATCTATTCAAATGTGACATCACGAAATTTGGTCTATATTTACATATGTGGTTTGTTTGAAGATAGTTAGCTTGCGGATTTTTACCTAACAAGCTGGCAAACTGCCAAACAGCTGGTCAACCAGTATTAATATGCAGAGCCATTATTGAACTTTATATATATATGCAAATAAGGTGGTGACGCAATGAATACTGTGCATTCAATTAAGGCTCAACACACTACTCTTATACCAAGTGATAGACGTCCATATACAGAAGGCCTGATATTATGAAGATATGAACTTACTAACAGTGGGCTCAAGGTACGCTCAACTTCTTTTCAAAAACAGAATGAAATGGGAGACAAACCTTGTAATTAAAGTAGGGCGACTGGAAAAGCTCGCTGAACAAGCGGCCAGTTGAGGATTTCGGAAGCAGCTTCATGATGTCTTTGTATTGAATCTGTGTGACTGACCCAGAACCAACTCCAGGTTTCGGGAAGGTCAAAGTTCTGTTGACAAGACATATGTCGTCCTGAAAATAAGAATAAAACACGACATCTAGAATGCAGGCAAAAGGGGAAAGAAGCTCGCTACAAACTAGAAATCATTCTCAATACATTGAATCAAAACCACCGCTGTAACATCAAACATAACTAAGTGGTAATGAAGGAAGGAAATTTGACTTCACCAAAAAAGTTAACATTCCACCCGATATGGAAGGCGCCCACTGAATGGTCGGAATCTCGAGGTCAAGACGCAGTCTTGTTTTGCATAATATTACTTGCCATTTCTGGACCATCGGCTAGTTAAAGCCTAACTTGATGATAATCACCAAAGACAGATGTTTTGAGATCTCGGAATTGTCTTTCTTACCGGCAAAAGCTCCACGCACGGACAATCGTAGCCGTACCACGGGACACCAAGCACCATCTTGCTGGTAGATATCCCATATACATCCTTGAGCAAATCTACACCTGAACATTATAAAATAATTCAGACACACGAAAAACATTCATTCGAAATATTTAAAGGAATAATTGTTCCTGCTCCGTAGATAACTTAATATAACAGCTTCAACCAATCTTTACCTATCGCGAGTTAGCCACGACCCATAGCCAACTCTATGGATTTTTCGAACTTCGAGTTTTGTTTGTTTCAGTTTTTGAACGTTCCGCGTCTATTAGTATATCATATAATTGGCCAATATTTTACAAGCTGATGACGCAAGTAAACCGCGAAAGGTCATCATTGTCCGACTCCGTTTATCATGTTCCGTAAAATGTCAAGCTGAAGTACTGTCTATGACAGGAACCTATATATGCCTTCCGGAATGTAGACTGAACCATTTGCAGCTATCCAAAAAGTAACCGACAAAATTATTGTGAAAAATAGTAATGACAATAAACTTCCTGTGAATTTTTCCCTTTTGGCGAAAAAAAACCCAATAAAAGAAGATCATTGCCAAAAATATGTCAAATGCCACTTTTTTTAAAATTTCGGTAAATACTGCCCTCATACAATTAGGTGAATCTGCAAGTGGGTGCAAGCGAGCAGATTGAGAACCATGTCCCGAGTGCTAATTTCAGGATTTTGTCACGAGAGGGCGCAACTCTGACTTGGAAATTTTGGAATTGGAATCGAGATCCAGATTAGTGTGTATTGTTTGTTCTGTTTTTTCTCAAAATATGCAATATTCACAGAGCTAAAACTTCAGAGCACCCGTCATAATATTTTTATCAATTTTGTTGCTTCAAGCGAAAAATAAACGCACAAAAAAGTTCCTTTCTGCCTTTAATACACAATGTGATCATCCTATGCAAAATTTACCACAGGGTCTCTCTGTCAAATACAAGATTGCTTTTCCAACACGAAGTGGTCGTTACTTTTGGTAAACAGTTACAAACAGTCGACTGTACGAAAACGTGCATTCTTTCAAGTTTATTTTATAATTAATTATGGTTGTTTCAAAACAAAGCGGTGTGGAAAAGAAGCTTCTGTTAAAAGTTTTGTGTACAACTCACCAAATTTGATGACAGAGAGCGGAGAGTTGGGAAAGGCCACCGGCCCAGCCGCGAGTAAGTCGTAGTCCATAAGAAAAAGGAAGTCACATGCTTCGGCCAAGGCGGTATAGTCATAGCACCAGCCCAGTACGAGGCAGGGTGGTACCCCGCCTACGTCAAAAGTTATCTGTGAAGAAAAGTAGGTTTAAAACGAACACGAAAATAATTGCCGTCTATGGTAGCATGGGTGGCATGGGTGGCTTGTGCGTAAAAGTGCTCGCCTGTCACTTCCGTGGCCCTGGTTCGAATCCCGTTCGCGGACCATACATGCCATATGTGAGTAGAGTTGTGCGTTGGTTCTCTCCTCTGCCACAGGGGTTTTTTTTTCTCCGGGCCCACCGGTTTTTCCCTCCGGAAAAATCAAACACTTTTGATCTAGTCTCAGGCTAGCTGTGCTCCGTGTCACAATGGGTCGATGTGGCTGGCTGCCAGAGGCGCCTTTTGTCCTCCGCAATCCAGCTTCTCAGCTGCCAGTAAGGATGATTAGCCTTCAACATTACTATTATCAAATTAGTATTATTATATAAACTGGATTAAGTGGAAAATGTGATATTTTGAACTGGTGGGTTACCAGGTTGTTTGTATACTATAAAAGAGCTTATACACACACTGCCTATAAGTTCCAATAGGTGCTCAATATTGATTTAAAACGTCCATTAGTAGAAAAGTTATGATTAAAGGTAGCCCATGCATGTGGTTAAGTGGAAAGCTGTAATAAACGATCAAATTTGAAGGTCAGGGGTACTTTACTGTCACCAGAAAATTGACGAAAGACCATCAAGAAATACTCTTTATAAGGCATTTTTTGGTTACCCACTATAGCGAGAAATTTAGAAAGGCGGCATGGAAACCCTCTGACACTAGATGGCGCTCGTTGCGATGACCTTTCTGTTTTTCGGACTTTTGTATTTGTTTTTCTTTGCCAATGCTTTTTTCCAAGATCTTCCCTTACATCCCGCCTCCATGGCGCCCATGGTTAGGGATCCACTAAGCTTACTGATGGGTAACGAAATCTCTAGCCCTTTTTCTGGCTATCGGCTCACCCAAGGTTGGAATTAACCATATGTACTGTCAAGACTTTGGCTTCTCGAATCTCGATGTCGCCATTCACAACCATTTACTATCTAGGGCAAAGTATGCAATCCATACACTGCAAAAACTGCCGTGTTAAATTTACACCATTGGTATCTATATAGGACCATCTAGATACCGAATGGTGTTAAATTAACACTACAGTTTTTGCAGTGTACTTCATACCTGGGCATTTGGATTGTAGGCTTTGAAGGCCTGTGCCGTCTCCTTGACCAGATCGACTACGTAATGCGCATCCTCAATGGAGACTGGGTACTCAATGTCAAAGTTCACGCCGTCCATGTGCCAGCTCTTAGCCTGGGCAACCTGTTGTTGTATCCATGCAGTGCGTGCAGCGGGATTCGTCAGGTTATCTACTGGATATATAACTGTAAGAGCAGTGGCAAACGAATGACTGGTTTATGTCGATTGTTGTATTCCATAATATTAGTTTGTACTTCAAGGCGCTCCATACAAAATAGATCCAAAGTTTGAAATAAAGGTTGAGGTTCAGTAGGCCTATATGTGTAAAGCAACCAATATCTTTATGTGTGTGCAGTGTTCATGTTATTCAAAGTTTGTCGATCAATATCAGCCTCATGATCATGACTTTATGCAATACTAAGAGGGCGCTAGGGTCCACCAAAGCCCAAACATAACACACCCTCCCAATATAGCCACCAAAAAGCTCGTAGGCCTCAGATGTTTTATAAATTAATTATCAGTTGACACTGTATAGTAAAGATTGTGGACATGTATTGTATTCAGTTGTATGAATACGGTCTTATGATTCTGGGTTCCGTTTCAGATTTTTTTTGTTTGGGCTAACATGTATCGGAGTACCTGCTAAGACAATCCTGGCCCCCTTAGAGTGGGCGTGGCACATGAGTTTCGGATCGTACTTGGTGTACAGCCCCACTGTGGTGATTTTCGACCAATCGTATTTCTGCCAGTTGCTGTCTTCCACAATGAAAGCGAACAGCTGTAAAGTCGCAATAAAAATTCTTTGATCAGGTCGGACCAAATCAATACAATTAGGGTGTGTGTTTTACTGAAAGGGTACTATAATATTTATGTAATTGCTTGTCCTTCTCTCACTTTGTGCCAATAAACTGATTAACATTTTGTTACCAATTAAAATAATTACATAATGTACTACTAGCGTGTAATAACTCCTTAGTCATAGCACTTGGACGTTGCATAACAGAGAGAAAAATACCAGCATTTCTGGACACATAATACGCTTGCCTTGTCTTTTTTCGGCAACTTTTACCACTTTGGGGAGAATTGGGTTGTTGGTAATTTTAGAGGGGCACATATGCTTCCAAAGACACTTAATTCCCACACCACCCCAAATTTACTCCAGGTTATACGGCAATGTTTGAAATAAAATTTCTTTCGGGAATCTGTGGGCCAAAACCATGCAGGAATAAAATGTAGGGGCCTATGCATAACTTGAATGTAACAAATCATACGAACTTATACCATTCTGAACCCTATTACAAAGTTACCTCTTTCCGTGGCGGTGCCGTGATCAGCTCACATTGCGACGGGTCGGCGCACGGGCAGTCCACCTTGACCGGCGCGGTGGTACCGTGCCGTAGACACAGGCAGAGCAGCCATAGTGCCGGTAGAATACCACTCAAAACGCGCAAACGACGGCCTGAAACCATTTTGCGAGCCCAGTTGTGTGGACTTGCAGTGTAACTACCCAGAATTACCTTCGAAGTGAAGTTAATGCTTCAGAGTTCAATCATTATTTGAACAGTATACACCGACTATCAAAATTCCCCCAAAATATGGACGCCTTCTCTTAACTCGTGACACCGATCGTTCTATTTGCTTTGCAAGATATGAGTAACCATCAAAGTGGGCTGAACTTTTGTTACTTTGTATTATAACATTAATTATGTTCCTTGTTCACTGTAAGCTTCTTCATGATTTTCATGACAGATTTCCTCTTTAGCCTGTTGAAGATATTTTCGGTAACTTGAATATACTTTATTGAGCACGTGTAACGTTTACTTTTTACAGCAGAACAATGGCAAGTTTTTAATCTGCCCAAAAAAATGAGGACTTTGGTCCAGTTGGCTTTCTACCGATATATGGTGACGTGTCCAGATTAGGTTGAATCAACTCTTTTCAGAGTTTATTTGAGATCCCCTTAGCTGACCCCTGACCCCTACACTCGTTTCAAGCACTCTACCAAAGGGCGCAGGATCTTCGAGTCTATTTATGATATTTCTTTGACACGGATTGCTTTGCGATTACTTCTCACATGAGTTTGTTCAAGGGAATAGCTTTTATCCTTTCGCTCGTCCCCACCGCCCTCCTCCCAAGGGCGCTGGTGGTGGCTAAGTCGCTCGTACAAAAATCTCTACCGAAACGCAATGCATTGTGGGCAGCTTACTGCGAGAGGGCGGCACAGAATGCACCTAGGCCTACATCTTGTATGAAAGGGGCATACACACACGGAAAAAACTGTCCTGCGTCAGCCGGCAAACAGTTTGTCCAATGAAAATGAGAACTCTTTGACCACTGGTCATCGGTAAACAAAAACTGTCTAATGAGAACTCGAAGCGATTAGCCCCCACTTGTCCTTGGGATAAGGTAATGAGGACGAGCGAACTTTTATAAGTGCCGTCAATATGATAACGTCGGTTAGGTGGGAACCAGCGATGTTAATGTGACCAGTGCGCAACCCTTGACGTATGACCCCAAAGAACAGCGCCACCAAGCGTCTAAAACGATGATTTGTACTCATTCGTTTTTGTCGTTATTACGTAATTTATTTATTTATGTAAAAAAAAAACCTACAACACAGAAAAACAGACCTGAACCGGGGCGTTTACTTTCCGTGGGAAAATACCCCCCCCCCCCCCGTTAAAAAATTCCTACAAAACCAAACATTTTCAAAATGTCTGTCATGTGCAACCGGTGCATCACAGGTATCATCACATAGCAAGAAATTTAATAACTTCATTTCTTAATTAAAACAAATTATAAACACCTTCTGAATTTTTGATTTACAAAACAAATAGAAAAAAAATCGATTCAAGATATAGCCTAAGGCACGTGAATGCGCATTTTGAGTGCAATTATTTTGCTTCATGAATAATCTTTTAAAGTTTTCATTTGTTCAATGAAACATTAAATGTTTGTCATTCTTTTGGATATTAAAATAGCTTCTACCCTTGATTACTTCGGACAATATTCTAAAGGAAGAGGAAGGGAGTCAGCCCCCATCAAAGGCTTTCCTCTCCCCAAAAGGCACAAATATTGATTATTTATCAACTTAGCTCTCTTTTTATACCCCAAAATTGTGGATCTTGAACAGTATTGGTTCATTCCATTCCCAGTGGCGTAAACCTGTGACGGCGAGTGGGGGGATGGGGGTGGCATCCAACGATTGCCTGGCCGTGGAAATTCGAAAGGGGGGGGGGCTGGACACTGCATTACACTAGGGGGCGCTGCTCATGATACAAATGTACATCTTTATGTATACTCTTGCTTACATCAAAACGGCGCATTTTAAGCTTTTGAACTTTTTTCTCCATTTTCAGTGCTATTGAATACGTTCGGTTGTTGGGAGGTTCGAAAAATACCTCAAAATCCGCATTTTTTTGTTTCTCATCACGGAAAAGTGGGGAATGATTCAATAGCCAATCCCCTGGTCAAAAAGTGGGGGATATTTACCCCACCCCCTATCCCCCGGATTTACGCCCCTGTCCATATCGTAATACCCCTTCCTATGCCCCGCCTCCCTGAGAGTAAGGGGTTTTCCCACTTTCTAACCAGTCCACGCAATCGATCGCTGTTGGTCTCGCAACACTGCTCTGGCGTGGCACAGTGTGCGCATGCATATATGCATACACTGCAACTGGTGCGCAGTTCGCCGTTTCCGCCATTTTGCGACCGAAGCAGTAAGTCTACGGAATACACAACAACTTCGTCACCATATTGTCACTTTTTGGTGAGTATGAACCACGCTGTTACAATTCATCGGAAGCTGTGTCGAAGCATCTCTCTCCTCTTTCTTACAGATTACTTTGTTGCATATGAATGTGTGAATACAGATGAGATTTCTTTAGTCGCCATATGTACGTTTGTGGCGATTTTATATACCAGTATTGTATTGTTGTTCAATCATCATTGCCATTCGTACTTATGCTAGTCTGGCGCACGTAACCCTATCTGAATACGTGATATAAACAGCGTTCGCCCATCAGGAAGTTCACAATTATTAATCTAAAGAGACGTATTTTCTTACAAAAGATTTCAAACGAAGTCCCAGTGTGAAACTTGGAGTAACTTGGAGTTGGAGGAGTTGGAACAGGAAACGAGACAATGTGAAAACTCTGTATGCGACATTATTAACTTTCGCTATCTTCTTCTTGTAACAAAACGATTAAGCCTTGTTTTAAATGTGAAGACCTATCTTCTAGTTCGAAGCCCCGGAGACCGAGGATATCCTTTTTATTTGATCATAATGTAGGCCTATTTAATCCAAAAAAAATCATCTTTTGGGCTGCCATAATTGGCATGAAGGCTGTCATAATTGGCACTTGTTAAGGGAAACCGTTATTAGCAAAAACTATACTGTTCATCCATATGAATGATTATTCCCGGATACCATATAAACCAGCAACTAGGTTGGTGAGTGGTATCAATCTATGTTTACAGGTACCACAAGGTAAAAAACATTGAAAGCTGTTGACATCACAACCCCTGCTGAGAGTCAAAAGCTCAAGTTTAGCACCCAAAAGCACACGGGGCTGCTCGACTAGCTTCGGGCAACATATTCCAGGGAATATACGATATAATGGCTCCCGCTTTGAAGTTCAATGAATACATCCATGTTAACACAATTGTCAAGTTTGAAAACTCGCTCTGATAAGCAAGTCACAAATTCACAATATTACAAACATTTCTTTGAGTACATTATCGCAGGCATGATTCTGAAGTACATGTACATGAAGGTCATAAACAATGACATTAAGTTGATATTGCGCTCATTTCTTTGTTTAGAACCCACAGAACAGAACCTTCAAACTCAGCTGAGGGTGGATGTTAGACCACTTTGGTTTGGGATTTAAGGGGAATTGTTTCCTAAAAGGTTGCAAAATGTTGAGAAAACTTGCTAATTATGAGTGATTCAGCATATTTTTTTCTCCGGGGAGTGCATGGGAATCAATATCGTGAATGATACAATTTTCATGCATAACAGATTTCGATAAAAAAAAAATCATCTGTAAATTTGATAAGTTGTTTTTGTTCTGAATGAACTTATTCGATAGACATAGTTTCCGTCGTCAAAACATTGACGTATCGTTAAAGAAAAATGTGTGATTTGTTGTATTCATTTCTTGTATTTGATCTTGTATACATTTTGTATCGTTCTAATTTACTTGATGATGCAGAGTCAAGTTAATTAGGCCTACGTGGCAGCTGGTCCTCCCTAAATGTCGTGTTTGAGGACGAACCCGGATATCATTCCTGCCTCCCCCCCCCCCCCCAAGAAAACGAAACTCCAACACACAAACTACGATTTGCATGAGTGATCGAGTTCCAACGACATGTATTGCATATTGGTATTGGTACACCGTGAAATATAAGCATTGTGAGGGAATTCTTTTCATCACAACAATGGGTGCCAGTGCAGACTGGTACGGAGTTATAAAATGCCATGAAATACGCAAACAGGTTCGAGGCCATAACCCCAGTATTATACTCGGGTCAAGTGAGAAGATCATGTGACCGGATCCAGATAGATTCACTTGAACTTGGATGGAACAGGCCTCCTGTCGCGCTATGTGTGTACATGTGTGTTTTGAGAGAACATGTACACATCCGCTATAAGAAGAGTCCGCATATATTTACTCTTTTGAGCGTCAGTATAGCCACGACTGTTTAAAATATAGCATAGAACGGTTATTCTGCGCAAACCAAATGTTTGCAGAATATTTGTGACGTCATTTTTTTTCTTTTTTTCTGTCGATGCGTCTCGCGACATAAAATGTCAATTTTTGCAAAGAAATGTTTGCTTCTGATAAAAAAATCCGGTTCGTGTTTAGATTTGATTAATTACATGTAGTCTATAAACGTACATACTCTTCCAGTTTGTATGGAACCCCCCCCCCCCCCCCCCCGCAATGAAAAAAAGAATGATTAAATATTTCTGGACAGAAGTTCGTGGGATATTTAATCAGAAGTATAGTTTATTAACACTTTCATGTGTTTTATGGGAAATTTCAATGTGTCATTAATTTTGTTTTTTTTTAAATTGCACACTGGGACGATGAATTTCACTTTTAATCTTTAATTCATGATAAAATACAGATTGAATTGAATTGAATGCGTTGGGGTCGAAATATAGATTGACAAGCTGTTTATCTTTATTATTATTAATCATTATTATTATTATTATTTTTAATCATTTTTGGTAATGAAACCAAGGATTCCTCAAAAGCGCCCTAGGCACTGTAGCTCACAAGCCTGAAGAAACCTGTGGAGAGAAGACAATCAATGCATTTGCTTTAAATGCTTTAATTTTACATTTTCCTAATGTCATTGTAAATTATGCTAGATTCTAGACCGAATTAAGCTAATTCATTTTTTTTTCGTTTTTAGTTGTTGGCCTTAGGGCCTTCTATTTGAAACTTCATCTGTACTTGTATTTGTTTTTAAAGGTTGAGGAAATAACCGGGTATACTTTTGATAATTTAATTGAAGTGATATTCCACGTGATATTTTTGTGAACGATTATTAGACTACAACTAAAGGACGAGACGATCGGTCCCCCAACCTTAAGAGACTTTTTTTTCAAAGGAAGCTTTGGGTGATCTTTCTCACAAATGTTTTCAGTGAGCAAATGTTGGGTTCACAAGTTGAACAGATAGCCCCTATACTTAAGAGCGTGTGTCTAAAATGACATCACAGCAACAGCGCCCAAAGTTGTCAGAAAAAAAACGTGGAACATCTTTCAACCGAAAAGGGATGCCTCGTAATTTTCATACATTTCATGTGATCTACACACGTTCCGTGTAAAATCATGTCATGGTCCCTTTAACGTATCCATGTTGCAAAATCCTTGTGCAGTTTTGCTGGGAGTAAATAATGCTCTTTAAGGTAAAGAGTAGATCATTAATTTTGTCATATGTGATTTGTTTCGTTTGAAGCAACAAGAGTGCTCAAAATCTAAAGACGGGTGCTTAAGACCCCCAAAAAGTCTCCGGTTTCTGGTATGGAGCTTGCCCCAAAAGTGGTGCGGCGACGCGGCTTGTTTTTTTTTTTTCCCCCTTTTTTTTCTTCTTCAAATGTTGGCTGATGACTGCAAATGGTGCCAGACTAAATTTAGTGCAAAATATATGGGAGTTCAGAGAGGCCACATAAAGCTCATACTCGATCGTACCCCCATCTAAAAACACGTTAAAATTGTGCAGCAGCAGGATTCCAGTCAAACCAGTGAGTTTGGCGGTTTTGAGACATCATCTTTCATTGAAAAAAAATACTTTTTCATTTTGCCGACGCGCATGGCTACGGCGACGCGCGCGCATACCAGAAAACGGAGACTTTTATTTTTTGGCCTAACAATTACCCGGATGAAGTTTTAACTCTGTGAATGCTGTCCATTCTGAGAAACCCATATTCTAGGATCTCGATTTCAATTCAAAAGTTGCCGAGTCATATCTTGAAATGAACCCGAAATCAGCATCCGGGACACGTTCTCATTCAGCCGATTGCAGCTACGCGATGTCACGCATTGAACCATCGAATAACAATAGCAACCGCGCGTGCGTGGGTGTCGTGTACGGATTCACGGATTCGTCCAATCACAAACCAACTAAACGGAAATTTCCAAAATGTGCCACTCTGACTCATCTTTGGAAATGGCCTTCTTTGATTGTTTTCTCCAAAATGACAGCATGGCAGAAGGAATAATTTCACAGGGAGTTTAGTGCCATTTTACTGTCTTTAAACCAAGTAAGCTTTTTGGTAATGATTTGGCCACTCACTTTTTGGATAGCTACAAATGATCTACTCTACCTTTAAAACTGACAAAGACTTTCAGTGTCAGCTTGACAAGGCAGAAACCGGAAGGCAAAGTAAAAGATTCACTTCGCCAATTAGATCCAACAAATCATAATAAAAGCCTTCTGTCACTTTTGCTCTCACCACGAGTAAAGATAATTACTATTTTTTAGTAGACCCTCAATGATTGTTTTCTTTTGTTTTTGTTTTGGTTGTCTTTTTATTTCTTAAGAATAAGGAAGTGTTTCCTACGGTACAGTCATGGACGACAGGGGCGTAGTTATGAAGCAACCAATGGGACAAGTGGGCTACCCGGACGATGCGGCATTGCATATGCAGCCCGCTCCGATGACCACGCTGGTGACTACTCAGCCTACCACGACTACCATCATCGTACGAATCTTCATACTTGCAATCGCGCTGAGTACTTTTTATTAGTCTACTTAGAAAAAAAAATCATACAAATATATTTCTTAAGGGCATTCATAGAGATGGGCAGATATTCATTGTTCAATTTTGAGGCTCAAGTTATGTATTTGCAAGGAGGCTCGTTGGTACGAAGTCAAGTAGTTTAGGCCTATTGCTTGTAAATGGAGATATAAACTATGATTAAATTGATGTCAAGATATGTATTTCGGAAATGAAAGTCTGTAGTTGCAAACAAACTTTGACATAGGTTTGTTTTCACTTTTTCATATTGTTCTCTGCAAAACGAACTTGTTATACTGTGGGCTTTACTTTTACAAATACATATAAAAAAAAAAAACACTTTTAATCCTTTTTGGGGGGCTTCAACCTTTTACAGGCTTTCATAGCTTTGTAACCTGACGGCACGCTACACACACATGTTCATGCTAAGACGCCTTAGAGTGGGGTGAACAATGCGGAACTGACTGCAAATCTTTGTCTTGTCTTTTATCTGAGCAAAGCTACGTTTTTCGGCCTTTGTGGAGTGTGATTTCAAAGCATTTCTAATTGATCAATCCGAAGAAAAAAAATGACAATTTGCGCACAATCGTCTGTGGCTCATTCAATATAAATTTTAGGGTCGAAGGTGTGACATATTTCCTCTTCCTGTTACCTCGGTACAACCGTACTTTGTTATTTGCCATTTAAGTAGAACAATCATTAATAATAGTTGGTAGTTTGGTATTCGTAATCACTCTTGGAGGACGACTGCTAGTAAGGATTGCACCAGAATTATAAAATCATAGATGTCAGATGTAACAGGGACAGGGGAAAAAGTGGACCCAAATTTATAGAATGACCCTGTATCGTTTCCCACTTTGATTAGATGACGCAGACTGACTTCTTGCACCCACGTGGCATACCACGTGACTGGTCCACGCCCCTCTGCGGCTGCTTCGAGGACATGATTGGATGTAAGTATTTCGTTCTCCAATTTCCGTACAGAAGTACCCCCTCAACGGTGAAAAATAGAGAATGAAGGGCATACAATGAGCGCCATGGCTTATATAATATCAGTTTCACGGGCAGGCTAAAAGAAATTGTACAGCATCCATGCATGCCAACCTTTTTACTGAAAACAACCGTATTGAGAATGAAAACGAAGTTGGAAAGAAACGAGAGATCAGAAAAATTTGGCTCAGATGCAAATTGCAACAATGGAAAAGGTCCATCTGTTTTCTCCGAAAACAGATAATTTGAAGCTTTGTATGGTTTAGAACTTTAGTCAAACTTCTGAAACCTCGCCAATCTTTCCCAGAACACCACACATTCTCCCAAATCCCAATCAAAATCTAATTAAAAATCTGGGGGAAAGGGGAACATTCTCCATAAAAAGACGCCCATTTTGCACCACAGTGCTATCTATTCTTGTCAAGATTTTTCATTTATTTTTTTGGAAAATTAAAAACGAATATTTAAGCGGCCAGTTTGATTTTTGATCTCATCAACATGAGTTTGGCTCCATACTCCACAGGTCTGTGTGCCTTCTTCTGTTTTCCTTGCTACGAGTGCCACGTGTCCTCCAAGATGGGCGAAAACTGCTGCATGCCTTTCTGCGTGCCTCACGCCACCCTGGTTATGAGGGCGCACGTCCGTGGACGCCATAACATCCAGGTACGATATGCGATCCTATATCCCAGTATATCGTTAGACAATTTGCCACAGACAAAAGTGATAAATCCCCACACTTCAATTTCTTTTTAAAATAATACTCGGAACTCTCACAGGTGTTCAGGATAGGCCGTATAGCCAGGTGTTTCCAACGAAGCCGTAATATCCGGCTCAGTATAGAGCGTGCGCAGTGCCGAGGACTGTATCACGTGCCGGCAACTGTCCAATGAGGATCGCATAAAAGCATGGGGTTACTACCGCTAGTTCACACTGCACGGCGTTGTCAGTTTGCAACTAGGTCGGATATCGGTATTTCAACAATCGGCATTTCAAGTTTTGTTGCTGATTCAGACCATTTTGATAACGATTTTGGGGGACTTCCTTTCTAATTTCCAGGGCTCGTTGATCAACGATTGTTGCACCACTGCGTTTTGCTCCTATTGCGCCCTGGCTCAGGTTTCCCGTGAGATTGACAACATGCAAAGCGGACGGGTTGCTCCGTAGATCCCGGCAAGAACATCGATCGCGAGCCAACTGAACGGAGGCAACTAGCATCCAACAGCTTGATGATGACACAGCTTTTTGCTGGTGATTTAATTGTCGTCGTAATTTTTGTTGCAGTTTTGGTAGTGGGTTTTTTTTTTAGTTTTTTTTTTTTTTAGGGAGGACTACAAAGGAGTGACACGTTTGGTTTAACCCCACCACCGGACCCCAAACCACGCTAACTCTGTTTTTTTTTTCACTTAGCGCCTCATGTAGACCGAGCATAACATGACTGTAGGCCAATGTGGTTGATTGATTCATCGGGGAATAAAATAATACAAGCTGGTACATTTACAATACAGTATACATGTATACAGGTGCTGGGTTAAACTGTTTTATAAAAACGTTAATTTTTTTAGAGGTTACTGGCATACATTCGGAGCAGGTGAACATTCGGAGCAGGTGTCCCATGCTGAACTGGGACATACCCATGTAGTAGCCCAGCACATAATTTTTGCTCAGCAAAACAAACTTAAAGGGAATGTACAACATTTGCTTTTGCTTCAATTTTCAGAAATAAATGGATTTGGAGGATTAGTATGTTATAGCAAATATTGTTAAAATGACTTGTTTCACGTTTTGGGCTTGTAGATGCTGGAAAAACCAAGAAAACCTATCATGTTCTTTTAATCTGGTTTCCTGACCCCACTTAAGATGAAACGGAGCAATTTATATACTTTGGGAATTGTAAAGTCAGAGAATCAGTCTAGCAGACTTGTACCCCTTCACAGGTGTGTAATCATTGCAAAGAAAACGCGGAATAACTAATTATGAAAATGTTAGGAGCAGTTTCTGAAGGAAAAAAACAACAGTTTTCTCCAACGCTGGTCAGCCGACCAGCATTGGAAAAATACAATTTTTCTTGAAAATGACAGCACACCAGGAGCTACGATTTTACAGGATGCTTTAGACTGTCATTCCCTAACAATCCAGTAAGATATCTCGTGATAATTTGATAATTTCGTTTTGTGATGTTTGCAAATGTTGTATCTTCCCTTTAACAAAAGTTGGTAACCAGCTAAAACATCATGCGATGTGTAATGATTGTAGGCCTATAACTGGTTCTCGGCCGATTTTTGCTAAGCACGTAAATGTGCTATGTTATTTGCTAAATAAGTATATAGCTCCATGTAACGGGCGGCCCTAATGTGCAAACACTATACCCTGCCGTATACACTCTGCCGTATACACTCTGAAAAGTCCGGGGTAAGATCATTGGACCCGGAAGCCTGGTCATATTTTGACCTCGTACTTTTCCCGGTCAAGATGTCACTTTTCAGGGTCACTTTTGACCCGGAAAATAATCCAGAGAATTAAGAGTCTTTTTGAGCCAAAAGGGTGTCATTTTGACCCGGAAAAGTATCTGGTCCAACTTGAACCGGATTCCGGGTCAAATTACCGAGAAAAATATTCAAGAGAAGTGTCTTTTTGACCCGGAAGAGTGTCATTTTGTCCCGGGAAAAGTATCTGGTCCAAAAAAACTCCTAGTGAAATTTGACCACGGGACGTTTTAAAAAATCTTTTAGAGTGTACGTTCTAAAATTCCACGCCTCATCACCGGAACTTTTGTTTATGGGCTTCTCTTGTCTATTAGTACTGGGACTTTGTATGTTCACTTAATTATAACAGTACCATAGAGATATCTTTTATTGTTAATAAGTACTTAGAGAAACGTTTGAAGAGAGTTTGATGATTATAATCATTGTTAGATTGTATAATCGCCAATAGTTTTTCTCAACGATTAAGAAGAGTTTTGTCAGAGTAACTTTGAAAAGTAAAGTTTAATTTACAACTTAGTTTTAAACGAAAAAGCGCGTATAATGTACTTATACTGTAACACAGATGCCATTATACAGTACAACTGGTGGCCTTATGCTGTATATAACTGCTTGCATGCCTTACAATCTTAAAGAGCTTAGCTTCTTCTAACTTTATTAAAGTATATCTTTGACATTTTGTATTGTTTATTTTTTGACAAGTGAAATCACTCGATTGCATCTATGAGATAACATAACGACGTTACGCCCGTAGACGTGGTAAAACGGAACTTTCAGTAGCCTATATCGTTCTGTATAGATATATATATTTTTATTCATAGGGTTCATTCTTAAAGTACCGATTATTTCATTTTATGATTTTATTCCGATTTGTTTGTGCTTACTCGATCTGGAAACTATTGCATGCACCACAAAATCGTGTTATATTTTATTGATCGTTTCTTATTAGAATTTTACTCACAGCATGACTTTTAACAATAAACCTTAGTTAAGGATGGGCTTCTGTACCTGTGTCTGTGATTTGATGCGTCTGTGTCAAAATTTGAAAGGCAAGTACAGGTCGGAACACCTTTGACTATTAAATTAAGCGTGAACATCTGTGATAGCGCCAAAAGTGGAGGGGGGGGGAGTAAGGGGGTATTTCCCCCGGCCCCCCCCCCCCGAGTGCCCTTTAGTACACAAATGCCCTTTTTTTTCACAAGCAGGTAACCCCCCCCCCCCCCCAATATTTGTAAAAGAGTGCCCTTTTATTATTTTACACAACTGCCCTTTTTTATAATACAAGTGCCCTTTTTTCACCAGTGGCCTTTTTTGACGTGCCCTAGTTCAATGGCGGATCCAGAACACAATTTTGGAGGGGGCCAAAAAAATTTTGGTCCCCCCCCAAATTTTTTTTTGGATTCTAGATGCTCTGTGGTGCGATCTGAGGCAATTTCTGACCACTTTAACCAATGTTTTTTGAGGAAAAGATGGTGGTGTACTCATTGCCTGCCTTTATTGCGATGTCACATAAAAAAAAAAAAAAATTGGTTTCGTTTTTTGGGGGGGGGGCCATGGCCCCCTTTGGCCCCCCCCCCCCCTGGATCCGCCCTTGCCCTAGTTTGGAATTTCGCGGGGCGTGTTAAGGCGTCCTTTTCAAAAATGGCGATGGACCACACGGGTGATCGTCTTTGGATGGAATTTTCTCCCAAAAGTCATCAGATTACCACCTTAAAATTGAACAGAAAATGAAAGATGATGAAATAAGCTTTAATTTGATGTGTGTTTGAAACACCTCGGAGAGTTGTGATCATTTTAAACAATTTTTGGAAGTGCGCATATCACTGGATCTGTGGGAGTTGATTTACTGGTCTGCGCCCACAAAAATTGATACTCCATATGGTATCAACAGCGCCACCATGCGACGTTCCGGCAGACAACACATCACAGCCAACATGTCAGCGAAAAAGATGGCCGCAATTCACTGGCTCGACATCCTGGAGAAAGAGTTCGACAAAGCCTTTGTCGACCTGGATATCCTCCTTGGGGAGATCGACCCTGACCAATGCGAGATCACCTATGAAGGCAGGCGGAAGATGACGGCCCTCAGCGCCGCTTTCGCTCAGCTTTGCCACAAGGGACAGACCATTTTCCAGAACAACGCCAAACTTGAGGTAAACATTAAATCAACGCAATTCATGCACAGTCAGGCGTGAGTGGGAGGGGCGGGGCTACCCTGAGTTGGGCGGGGTATTTTGTAGACATTGTTAGATTAGTACTAGTAGGCCCCTACTTAGGAAAGAATGTAATAAACAAAATATCACTTCCATTTTTGGTAATCCTTAATTTTAGGACCCCATTCCTATATAATTTAATATGGTGAAATAAAAGACTCGCCAAAACAACTGACTAAATCAGTAAATAAATGACACTCAAAATTGACATTCTGGTATTTTTGATACATCTTAACAGTTGGTAATTACACCTTGAAAATTACAGGTGTAATTTTGTGGGAAGAGGGCAGTTGATCTATAAGGGAAATTAAGGGGTAAAACACGACGATGGCAAACAGAAAACAGATTCAAAAACCAAGAAGGCAAACTGAAAAACAAGGTAGGAAAGTCACATTTTCTTTGAAAGTGCTTTCAAAATGATATCGAAAGAACATGGGTTAAAAAGACTGCTTTAGCCTGCAAAAGCCACTTTGGTACTGGACAGTCATCTGCAATAATCAGTTTTGAACAAAACTCGTAAAAAATACAGGTGTCCTAAAGATTTGTTTGTTCATTTTCTATTGTGAGTACGGAACTTTTTTTAGCAAACAAAATGTGGAATAGGCGTGGTTATCCTATATAATCTGTTGTGGTGTTTTTTGGGAACATTTTGCAGTCATTGACTGGCTTCATTCTGAGTTTTGTTATTTAGGTCTAACGTTAGATGGGAAAACTGTAGTTTAGGACACCTGGGTTTTTAGGCAGAGAATATACTTATAAAAAGGGTTGTAGGTCAAGGATACAATCAAAAATTTCAAAATTGACTACATAGTTTTGAAGTAATTTCAAAATTGGTCAGACGAACAATTTTGGGGGGCATACTGTAGTATAGGCCTAAATGATGTTCATATAGCCTATAGGCCTGCTTTTTTTTCGCTTGTGCTGATTTTTGTTTCAACGTATATGCAATGACTTGCCATTGCATTCATGTATAGTATGAAAAAGTGCCAGCAGTATTCGTTTCTCTTTTTAATCAAATTTTAAATAAAATATCAAATGTCTTTAAAAGATTTTTGAATTGAATGATCGTCATGTTGGTTGATTTTTCAGAAATGAATGGTCCCGTTTCGATGTCCAGTACAAAAGCCTTTTTAAATAGCTGCTTTTCGTCCAACTTTTTTTTATCTCAGGCGCAGGTCATGAATCTCCGAGCAGACCTGTGCGAGGTCAGAGCGACCAAGTCCATCCTGGAGAAGGAACTGCACAACCAGCTGCTGCAGTTACACGCTGTCCAGCTGCAGCTGCACGCCAAGACGGGACAGAGCGTGGACTCTGACGCTATCAAAAAGAGACTGGTAGGTGTCTAACAACCCTAAATCTGTTGGTGTTTAAATTGCATGCCTGAAACCTTTCTGATTCCTCTGAAATGCCATCGTAATGCAGATTACCACTGGCAAAGTCTTCTTCCTCCAAAACCCCCTGGTAGATTTCAATCGGAGGGTTTTTAGAGTTAAAAGATGTGTAAAGTTTCAAATTGTATAAAGAAAGTGATTACTGGTAGAAGTAAAGCTGTGTTTGAATTGGCTGTTCCTTGGCCACTATTTTGCATTTTCCATAGATAAATATGCCTGTCTTTATATCCTAAGATTGTGGCAAAGTATATTGCTCAAGAACACAATAAACATGATTCTTGCACCAGTTCAGTTCATTCAGGTTATTTTTTTGTTTTCTTTGACAAAGACTTTGCTTTTTTAAAATTGAAAACAAACGTGACTTTAACTTCAGGTTATATTTCCTAAATCTTCACTGATTGACCATTCGTAAATTTTTCATCCAATCAGGAGCAAGAAATGGAATCCTTCAAAGCCGACGGGATGAAAGAGGCGAGGATGGAGGCGGAGCTCAAGGAGTATCAGAAGGAGAACGCTGAGCAAAGACAACACATCATGGCGCTTCAGGGCGAGGTGTATGGAGCAAGGCTAGCTGCCAAGTATCTGGACAAGGAACTTGCAGGCAGGTGAGTTGCTAAAGGGTTTGCATCAATAAGAGTGTCACCCAAGGCTGTAAAAGAAGTTTCTTGTCCAGGCTTTTTTGAAGGAGGTGGGCTCCCAAAAGATAGTAGATTTTCTAAGATGGTTGATTTTCCAAGATGGTTGATTTTCTAAGATGGTTGATTTTCCAAGATGGTTGATTTTCCAAGGTGGTTGATTTTCCAAGATGGTTGATTTTCCAAGATGGTTGATTTTCTAAGATGGTTGATTTTCCAAGATGGTTGATTTTCCAAGATGGTTGATTTTCCAAGATGGTTGATTTTCCAAGATGGTTGATTTTCTAAGATAGTTGATTTTCCAAGATGGTTGATTTTCCAAGATGGTTGATTTTCCAGGATGGTTGATTTTCTAAGATGGTTGATTTTCCAAGATGGTTGATTTTCCAAGATGGTTGATTTTCCAAGATGGTTGATTTTCTAAGATGGTTGATTTTCCAAGATGGTTGATTTTCCAAGATGGTTGATTTTCCAAGATGGTTGATTTTCCAAGATGGTAGATTTTCCAAGATGGTAGATTTTCCAAGATGGTAGATTTTCCAAGATGGTAGATTTTCCAAGATGGTTGATTTTCCAAGATGGTTGATTTTCCAAGATGGTTGATTTTCCAAGATGGTTGATTTTCCAAGATGGTAGATTTTCCAAGATGGTAGATTTTCCAAGATGGTAGATTTTCCAAGATGGTTGATTTTCCAAGATGGTTGATTTTCCAAGATGGTTGATTTTCCAAGATGGTAGATTTTCCAAGATGGTTGATTTTCCAAGATGGTTGATTTTCCAAGATGGTAGATTTTCCAAGATGGTAGATTTTCCAAGATGGTAGATTTTCCAAGATGGTTGATTTTCCAAGACCACCGAGTTTCAAATATTCGAATATTCGGTCAAACGCACTTTTCAAATATTCGAATACAAAAATCTATCTGATAATTTATCTCTAATGTTCAAGTACATAAAAAAATTTTTTAAAAAACAGGTAAAAAAGTTTTTTCCCTTTTCAGAATCTACCAGAATAAATAAAAATTGGCTGAATTGCTGTCCCTACCCATCACGGGATTAACCCTAACTTTCCCAAATCATGCAAAATCTTCTTTGCAAAACGGAAGATTTTGCATGATTAAGGCTATATGGCAAATTGTGTGGCTTATTTTGGAGGATGCACTGTGTCGAGGTATTGGGTCGGGCCTTGTTTATGCTCAGCCGTGCATAAATTTAGGCCTAGATTATACTTGAAATCCTCCGCACTTCTCCAGGATGTCACCAGCTCTGCGTCAATATTGACAGTGACTGCTGGAGGATTTTGCAGGATTGAGGCAGTGGTCACCCCTCCAAAGACCACACTCAAGAAATAACGGAGGATTTTTGGAGGGTTGAGGCTGTATGCAATTTTTACATGGAGGCAGTTGGAGGATTTTGCAGGATTAAGGTTGCATCCTGGCAAAAATGCCTAGGGAGTTAGGGTTAATGATATGCACAAAAACAAAGGAAAGTACATGTATTACAAATATCCTTACCACAAAACTATGGATTAATGATATCAACCACACAAATCATGAAGACTATTAACATCTTTTGATACAATGCAAGAAATTAATCGTATCAACAGCACAAAGCTAGACATTAATCGTAACACTACCACAAAGCAACAGAATTATACAACACCACAAAGCAAGCGATTAATAATACTGCCCACAGCACAAAGCTCCAATCCCAATCTATAACACACGGCGCCACACCTAATAATGTTTCCCCAAACCATTCACACATATTCTGCGCATGGTTCGTGTCAATCACACCTTTTACTGAGGTCCACACGAACCATGTAGCTCTGTTCGTTTCCAAACTGCAAATTAATAATATCTAAGCGAAAATCCAATTATGTGGCACTGCGGCAGCTTGCCAGACCATTCTCATACAGTTGCGTAGTCAAATTAATTTGTATTTTGTGTCACGACTTGCCTATGATATAAAATAAATAGCCATACACAGTTTATACGTACATTGTGATGATGAGTGTTTTTGAGATTTTTTTTTTTAACATGCAAGACATTATAGGAAAGAGATGGTACATTTACAGTATGTTAATTGTAGGCTTCTAACTGATGTTAAAATGTAGATTGTGTGCATGTAAGTGGTTTAGACTAATTCTTATAACATTGTTAGGGCGCCTCGAGTGTTGAAAATCTAATTAGAAGTGCTTTGTGTAATCAAATGAGATCTAAACTTCATTATCTTGTTGCATGCCTGTGGGTGTGTACATGTTGTTACATACATGTAAGGCCAAAAAAATAGTTCTGCTTCCAATTACATGGCATTTGAAAAGGGTAGGTACCGGTAGGTAGGGAATTTTTTTTGATTTTTTTTTTTTTTTGCCAATTTTTGTGTGTACGATCATATGAAGGCGTCTGCATGTAATCAAGGGTAAAAGGTAGAAATTTATGGTTTGGGTGGTTTTTTTTATAGATTTTTCCCATAAAAAAATTAGGGTAGAGGCTGTCAAAATAGGGTAGGTAGGGAAACCGGAAGCAGAAATATTGTTTGTTTTGGCCTAATGATTGAGGCACTAGTTTTGCAGAGAAAGTGCTGTAAAATTTTAAAGCCAGTATCGTTTTTCAGGTTTGCTTTTAGCGTTTATTTGGTTCTGATATTCTCTTGTTTTGTTTATTTAGTCATATTTATTTTTTTGATAAATTAATAAATTATGTTCTGATGTGATATGTAAACCATTATGCTGGCATCACTGACAATTTTTCTAGTGCGTTAATTTAATTTTTGTTACATTCCAAGTGTTGCATATTGTTCTGAAAAATCTATTCAGTTGGTAAAACACTGGAGTAGTTATCTGAAGGGCCCAGGTTCAACATTTTCAAATTCTGGTTTATCCAAAGTATCTTTGCTTCTTTCATTGAAATTATTGTTCAGAGCACTTTGTTATTTTTCCTGATAAACACAGTTCGTGGATTTTTCATTTTCACCCAATCTCACTGCTGGTTTTAATATTCTGTAATGCTGAGGGCTTTTATTTTCTCTTCAGAATCCAACAAATACAACTCTTGGGGCGGGACCTGCGGGGCCCGGAACATGACAAATTGTGGAACCAACTTGAGGCAGAGATCCATTTACACAGACATAAGACAGTCATCAGGGCTTGCAGGGGCCGGCAGGGGTATCGGAACAGACTCCCACAGCCACCGGGACATGTAAGGAGGGCGCAGTTTAACCTTCTTGTAATAATGGCAAAGTTTTATGCAAGTCACTTGGAGTCAATCACTAGTCAATCACAAGTCAGTCACAGGTCAATCACAAGTCTAATCACAAGACCATTACAAATCAAAACACAAGTAGTCAATAGAAATATCACAACTGAAGTCACAAGTCAATCACAAGTCAGATCACGAGTCAGGCACAAGTCAAATCACAAGTCAGTCACAAGTCAGTCACGAGTGAGTCACAAGTCAGGCACAAGTCACTCACAAGTAAAGCACAAAATAGATCAAGTTAGTCACAAATCAAATCACAAGTTAGTCACAAGTCAATCACAAGTCAGTCTCAAGTCAAATCACAAGTCAATCACAAGTCAGTCACAGGTCAGTCACAAGTCAGTCACAAGTCAGTCACACATCAAATCACAAGTCAGTCACAAGTCAATCACAGGTCAGTCACAATTCAGTCACAAGTCAATCACAGGTCAGTTACAAGTCAATCACAAGTCAGTCACACATCAAATCACAAGTCAATCACAAGTCAGTCACAAGTCGATCACAGGTCAGTCACAAGTCAATCACTAGTCAGTCACAGGTCAATCACAAGTCAGTCACACATCAAATCACAAGTCAATCACAAGTCAGTCACAAGTCAATCACAGGTCAGTCACAAGTCAATCACTAGTCAGTCACACATCAAATCACAAGACAGTCACAAGTCAATCACAAGTCAGGCACAAATCAAATCACAAGACAGTCACAAGTAAGATCACAAGTCAGGCACAAGTCTGAGCAAATCGGTCACAAGTCAAATCACAGGAAAGAAGGAAGGAAGTAACAAGGGACAAATTTTATTCGGACATCTTTATGATGACTTTTTTGTGACTTACTTGTGTCTTATGATTAACTTTTCTTATGACTAATTTTGTGACTGACTTGTCTTTGATGTAAACACTTGTATGAAATTCTTAATATTGATCATAATGCTTCTCCCTAAGCACTTCTATGTGACCTGTAGCACGGGCCAAATACTTTTTTTCCTCTTCCGATACATTTTGCTCTCTTCTTTTTACTAGGATGATGCGATCAGTCACCGTGGTGTCGGTGAAAAACGGACCGTGCTGATAGCCAAAGAAGAGGACGAAGGTCTAGGGATGTCCATCACGGTAAGGAACAGACTCTATTTAACAATTGCTGACTGCCATGATGTAGGGCATGGCATATTTTGAAATGTCTTTGCCGCAGTTGCCGTTCGTCCACGAGGATGTCAAACGTTCGTCCATGAGGATGTCAAACAATTGTCATGTTATATTGTGCCAAAAAGTCTGACACATTGTGACTATAGTGGTTTCTGTATTGACATTCACACACATGTCTGTGGGAAGGGCCGTTTACCGCTTCCATATGTGAATGTGTACTTGTGAAATGTAGCCAAGTAATTCAGATGCGACCTTGCTTTACAAAAAGTTAGTAAAATGATTTTTGATGTGGTTGAGTCCTTTTGCAGGTCCTCATGAGTCTCCACAAATCCATCACAAATCCATCACAAATCTCAAGTCAATTCACAAGCTACAATCCCGGCCAAAATGGTTGGGACGCTTCAAAATAAGCATACCCTCCCCCAGTCCCCTGCTCCCCGTTCCAGACCCTCCCTCTCCACATCCAATCCAGGGTTCATACATTCAGACAATCCCGGCCAAAATGGTTGGGACACGTCCACACAATGAACATACCCTTCCCCGGTCCCCCGCTACCTCCAGTCCCCCGCTACCCCAGTCCCCCGCTACCCCAGTCCCCCGCTACCCCAGTCCCCTGCTACCCCAGTCCCCTGCTACCCCAGTCAATGTTGTCATCTCGCGCTTGAGCACAGACCGCGCAATGAGAGACAACATTGGCCGGGGATGGGGGCCCAGCGAGTTTAGGCCGGGATTGCAGCTACTCAAACAAAATGTGACATAAGCATTTCATCGTCATGGTTACTCACCGTTTACTTGTGACAGGGTGTTTGATTTAACTGTGACCAGACTTGTGATTGACTTGTAAGGGACTCGGCTACAAGACTTCAAAAGATCACCATGTAATCCTGCCATTGTTTTCCAGGGTGGCAAAGAGCACGGCGTTCCCATCTTGATCTCCGAGATCCATGAAGGTCTCCCCGCCGATCGCAGCCAAGGGTTGTATGTAGGGGACGCCATCCTGTCAGTCAATGGAATCAACCTGCGTGACGCCAAGCACACTGAAGCGGTGGATATACTCTCCCAACAGGTAGGCGGAGCTTGGAACTCAAAGGGGGAGGAGGGACGAAGGGGTCTTGATAAATTTTGAAGAAAATAATCACGCTGAGCCGAAATTCTCTAAAAATTCATTGCGTGCAGTACCTGCTGCAATATTTACTATTTTGTGACGGGACGTTTATTAATTATGAATGGGCCATCCAACCCCGTCAAAGCTTGGTGGTCAGCTGGTTGAGACATCTGCACTAGTACGCAAAAGGTTGCGGGTTCAAGTCCCACTTGAGATAGCTTGTGATTGTTTTCCAAACCTCTCAAACCACACTGTACTTTCGTTCAGAGCTTATAAAATCGCAAAAGGGTAAAACCCATTGTTGCAACATATATCTCCCAGTGTTTTTCTCAGTAAGAAGTGAGCTGGCGTTTGAGAGTTCTTAATTTGCCGTTTTGCATTTCTTGGTTTTTTTTGTTGGCAGAATGGTGAGATTAGCATGGAGGTCCAGTTTGTTGCCCCTGATTCAGACAGCGACGATGACAACGACGAAATCATTGATGAGAATGGTTACAGGTCAGTCCACTCAGTCACTCATTTGAAACAAATGCTGCAAAGCATGGAGTGTCATGGCCTAGCGGTTAAGAGCACCGGACTCATGCTCTGGTGTTTCAGAGGCAACAGTGGCGTGGGTTCGAGCCCGCCGGGTGGACACTTGTGCCCTTAAGCAAGGCACCTAACCATTATTGCTTCGTCCGTCGGATTGGACGTAAAGCCGTAGGTCCCGTGTGTTAAATGCAATGCACGTAAAAGAACCCAGTAACATTTATTTCTAAGAGAAGGGGTTTGCCCTGGTGTTTCTGGCCTCCTGTTATTACTCCCATGCGGAGTTCTAAGGAGAAGAACCAACCAAAGAGAAGGAAAGAAATGTAGGGAGAATGGGCACAATGAACTCTATACAATCAATTCTCCTCTCTCTTTTTCCAGCCTGAGGCTGATTTGAGGAAAAAAGATACCGGCCGTTGGAAATCATGTTTGAAGTTCTTTTGAAAGTTCAGTAGTTTGCAAATTCATTCACAGGGCTTTTCAGGTTCTTAGATTTATCAAAGTCCCATATTCACTATTCCAGTCATTCTCAAAACCAGTATTGCGATAGATCTCCTCAAACTGACATTCAGCGCAATACCTGGGACATGTATTTTCAGAAGCAAAATGTATTTCCTTTTGACTCTCTCAAAATTATAGTTATCCCGTTTATGAGGAAAGCGAAGAGGATTTACTAAGCTACCAGCAGCCTAGTGAGGACAGCCCCCCACGCTCCCAAGCCACCAGCAACTCAGCCACCCCACTCCACGATAACAGCCCATCGACGTCATCGAGCCACCCGGGGCGGAGTACCAGCCACTCCCCAACGAAGAAGATAGCGAAAGCAGCAGGGATGAAGACACAGTCACCAGCCACGCCGGGTGCCAGCGGTGGTGGGGCGCGAGCCGCGGGGAAGGCTTCGTCAACACGCGAGGCACGGCATTCCACGTCCAGCCAATCATCGGAGCGGTCGTCAGCTGCCTCGCTCCTGCAGGGGGACATGAGCGCGGTGACGGCGCCCTCGACGGAGCCGGGGAACGAGATGAAGATGATGAGCGTGGGCCGCATGAGCACCAATGCGGTGCAGGGGTTGCCGTCGGCGGGGAGCGGGGAGGAACTGTTTGGAGCAGACTGATGAATATTCATTATTCTAATGAATATTCATGGTTACAGGTTATCTCAATATTTATATTCATCTGGATGAACTGTTTGGAACAGACTGATGAATATTCATCATTCTCATGAATATTCATGCAAATACTGCTTAGCAAGTTTACTTTGCCAAAATTGGGTATATGGTAATGAGGTGGTAGATAGGTTGGGGGGTGTAGGAGGTAATTTTGCCCCCGCCTCTTTTTTCTACCAACATCCGGTGTTAAACATTTTAAAATTCACAATTTCTGTATACTAAGTCTGTACAAGCTTGTGGTAGGTAATATTGTGCTCACTAGCCTGACATTTTAAAAGGTGCTCGATGGGGGTTTTATTGTGCGTAATACTAAAGCAAAGCATTGAGTGTAAAGTTTGTGTAACATTCAGACGGACCAATTATTTTAAAGACAGGTTAGGCCCAAAAAAAAAGGTCTCCGGTTTCTGGTATGGAGCTTGCCCAAAAAGTGGTGCGGCGACGCGACTTTTTTTTTTTTTTACCTGATTTTTTTGCTTCAAATGTCGGCTGATGACTGCAAATGGTGCCCGACTAAACTTAGTGCAAATATATGGGAGTCCAGAGAGGCCACATAAAGCTTATTCTCGACCATAACCCAATCTAAAAACACGTTAAAATTGTGCAGCAGCAGGATTCCAGTCAAACCAGTGAGTTTGGCGGTTTTGAGACATCATCTTTCATTGAAAAGAAAACTTGTTCATTTTGCCGACGCGCATGGCTACGGCGACGCGCGCGCATGGCTACGGCGACGCGCGCGCATGGCTACGGCGACGCGCGCGCATACCAGAAACCGGAGACTTTTTTTGGCATCAACGTTTTTTGTTTCACAGACGTTTTTCAAAACTGTAAAATTAATGGACTAATCTCTGGATAACAGGAGCTATATGATAGCCAGCGCTGACCTGGCTCCACACATTTTTTTTTTTGCATCTTGGTAAAGTCATTGATCATAATACGCATGCGTGAAACATAACATGTGGACGATAAATACATGTATGTCGTCTGATTCGGAATAAGTTTTTATAGCTTAAAGTTCCACGGCGGTCCTTGTGGTTTCGCTATAGCGTGCTTGTGCAAAATCTGTGGTCTGAATGCTGCAGGTTCACGGTTCGAATCGTGGAGGAATTTCACATTTTCAATTTTTTTCCCCCCAAAAGTGAATTTTCTTCCCTAAATTGTGTTGAATCAAGTTCTGGTGATCGATAAAATAAAAGGTCACCCTTTTCTGCTTATTTATGGCTACGGAGGATTTTTTTTGGCTCAAGAGAAGCTAAGTCCGAGAACCATTTCGTTACCAACTGAATCATATGCATTATGGTTATTGACTGAACTTGGTTGCAGAAAAAGCAATTGCGACCCGGCGGAATCGCCAAGTGTAAAAAATCTTCAGGAATTCAAACTAAATTGAAGATATTAATTGAGTGCCCTTTTTCTTTATCCTAAATAACATCAGAAAAACCAGAACTCAAACCCTCTCTATTTCAAACACATTTTTTTTTTTGCTGTATGAAATGATAATATTTTTACAGGTGCAATATGTACAGGCGACAGTTTCGTGTAATTTTTTTTGGGGTGATATTTGGCAGTGATTTTGCCACAGGGTGCATTACCGTATCATGAATATTCAGTGCCATATTTGAATATTCAAGGTCATAAATGAATACATGTGTAAACACGGGATAGCGTGTACATTATGTTTTTGATATGGTTCATGAACTCGATAAACAAGTTGTGTGAATGTAAAATTCTAGATTTTATGTTTGATCTTGAATTTTCACAACAGCTAAATTATTTATAAGGTCCTGAAAATCTAGAGTAAATATACACATAATTAAATATAAAAAAAAAACACTGTACATATTTTGTGACAAGAAATTACAGATGCTATGGAAACTCCGATATACCATTAAAAACCAGTTTGGTAGTTTTGTACTTAATGAATATTCAGCTGATATTTGTCTATCTGTGATTGGACACGTGCTGCCCATGTGACCACATGTTTTATGACCAACTCATTTTGTTATTCCAGTATTTATTTACATTGAAAAATAAGTTATATTGCAGGGTGAAATTAAGGCTGTTTATGAAAACAAACAGTGAAGGAAATCTAAAAGTTTTAAAATGTATTTGTTAATATTCTAAGTAAACAATAACAAAGTTGAATTTTTTTTAGCGAATGACTCAGAACTTTAACTTGACGTTTGTCCACACTTTCTAAATTGTTTTAATCCACCCTTCCCTTTCAAAGAATTTAACATAACAAATAAATTCGTTATTAAAAGAAATTAAAATAATTTTATATCAGTTGTGGTAATGGAAAATCACAATTTCTTTTTGATAAATCTCAAAGATTTATGCATTCCAGCTCTTTAACTTTAAAATGTTCAAAGTTTGGCTCTTGTTACAACTGTTAGCGTGACAAGTAGCTGGTAGCCATTATCTGTTAAGGTGCACGTAAACCAGTTACAGTTACCCTACGGGTTGTTTTGTAGGCCATGCCTATTTTTTTTCGAAGACATTCAAGCATGCTGTTTCCGTACTGTTTTTGTAAGTATTAAAACCTCATTAAAGACTAAATTTTTGGGTTTATTTTTGCAAAGTACGTTGTATGTCTGGGAAGATATTGACCCATAGGGAAAGGAAAAAAAATGAAATGGTATTTAGATTGAAATATTTTATTGAAGATGTTCAGTATATTTTACTTATCCGGCATTGAAATGAGGGTTCCAGTTTTCTGTGTTTGTTTTATAACGGGCAGTCTGCATTTAATTGTTGTCAGAAAGTTTGAATCGTTTCATTGTTTACTATGTTTCGCATTAACTTAAAGAAATTGATGTGAACAGGTCTATGTCAAAAACAAGTGGAAAGTATACAAGTTGAGATGTCATTAAAGCAATGCAGTAAGTGACATGTCTTGAAAAAAAGTTCTGCCTTTTTTTTACAAGTTGAAATAACCCACAAACAAAACAAACAACCCCAGAAGTACATTTACCAAAAAATGTACCAAATCGAAAAGTTTCTCTTTCTATTTTAATTTTTTCTTCAATCTGAGGAAAAGTGAACTTTCGACCAAAATTTAAATTATGTGACATAAACTTCATGTCATTGGGGTTTTTTTAAGTGTGAAATCTACATTTGTCTTAAAAACCCATGTTGAATATATGAGGAATGCACACATTTTGTTTTTCATTTGAAAAAAATATTTCACAGTGATTTGGTTAAAAAAGCACACTTTTTAGGTGACAGTTGTTCGAAAGATTATGTGACTTTCAAGTTTTCTAGTGCGTTGTAATATAATATGAAGGTGTTATTTTTTTCAGACAAAAAAAAACATTGAAAAGTTGATGGTTCGCAATTAATTCCCCCCCAAATATGGTAAAGCCATCAGCGGAAATCCCTACGGAATCCGGTAGCTGCCGTGGAATAACAGAAGACCCCCGGGCATGTGTCACGGGGATGTGCACGGCACATGGTGCGTATCGGCCACATTCACGCCTGCGGTCGGTCGGCTGTATAGGGGGATCTGAACAGGCAGTGTGCAGATTTTGCGGCGTAAAACTTAACGAGCGTGTATGAAATCGGTCATAAAAATGAGTTAAATTGTTGCATTATGTGGGCCCACAGGGGCTTCGTATGCCTGACAATTGGAACTGACGGACCGGAAGGCAAGTGGAAGACCAAATGTCCGACGTCAACTGGAAAGACACGCCATTATTTGGGTTTAAATTGAAACAAAATGATGTGTTGATAGACTTGAAGTTTCAGAACTTGAACACATTTTACGGTTATTTCCCTGCCAAATTCCAAATCCTGCCCTCTAAAACTGAACAATATTCCCAAAAAATTGTATTATACTATTTGGGTGTTGGCACATTTTGTCATCAGTGTTCACTACTGTGTCTTAAATGTGTGAATATGGTTGTATTTTGTAAAAAAATATTTTTTAGAAATCATCATGTCGCCCTAAAATGTTTTTTTTAGTGAAAAAAAGTTCCGGTCAATTTTTTTCCTTTCGGATTCATGAGTCTTGACGTGTATTAACACCATTTTAAGGAGTCCATGAATGAATTTGGTCTCCTTATCCCTTGCTGATGTCAAGTTTTCTGATTTTCTTGAAAATACGGAGATGACAAATGTCGTTTTAAGTTACTTTTTGGAGCGCATTTGTTCACCGTTTTTAATCGTCCATGCTATATCCCGACGACTGAGGGCGCTGTTGCTGCTCGAGATGCCGTCAAAATGTAAACACGACACAACTCTTCACAACGCGCCGTATAAAAGACAATTTTCAGAGCCTTTTTCCAGCCTTTTGACAAACACCCACGCCAAGTTTTAACACACGTCGACACTATGCCTTCCTCTCATTAGGGATTAAGAACTCGTCACCGTAAGTTTTGAGTTATTTCTCCAAAATTCTCCTGCAATCCGAGTTTTTGATCCAGACCATTGACAACCTAGTTTTATGGGACCTCGTTCCCAATGGACGCACCCCGCCAGATCTTTTCCCATCGGCCCCGCGAGATATGAACCCTTGTAAATCTTACTTTCGCTTTCTTCTCAAAACTTCTTATCCTACTCCGAAATAAATCGTAAAGCTTCAAACCATGTTGTCCCACAGGTATGATATTTCAACCATATCTTGAGAGCGTGGACAACCGAAATTTTCAAACAAAGAGTTCACTTCCTGAAGTTCCATGTTTGGGGGGGAAAACGCGCCGCTCAAGTTTCGAAAACCCATATCACATTGTAATACCTGCGAGGCAAATGGATGAAATTGTAATAGTGCGAAACCAGTGGAAAGAACTATGTGTCTTCCATTGTCAAGACTGAACAGCCTTATTGTTATGAGAAAAAAAAAGTATTTTGATGTACTCAAGCGTGTAGCACAGTATCGTGTTCGTCTAGCCGTCAAATAGCTTATGCAATTCAACATTTGCACGTGGCGTACATTTTGAATAGTATCCTTCATGTTTTTATGGAAAAAAATGTTGCAACCTGACGCCACTTTTTTCTTCATATATCATCTCAAATGCAAAAATGATGATACGACATGAATCTGGGACTGAGAAATATTTCCAATTTTGTTAGAAAATCATTCTCAGAAAATGTTCTTGACTCTCCGTAGACTTTGTACACAATCGCGAAAGTGGCGTCAGGTTGCAACATTTTGTCCTCGTAATCGTAGGAGTATGAGCTGTATATGACGTTGTAAGTAAACAATACTATTCTTTCGTTTCTCGCTTCAAGACATGGACCGGTTCATCTTTGTAATCACGTGGTACACTGGTAATCCTAGAGGGCATCTCATTGAAAATACATCCCCGGAGGTATTCCCATAAAATAGGCAAATCTCAAATTATCATCCTCCGTAAGTTAGAACCACATAGCGAGGCATGCTTAATTTCGTGAAACAACGTATCGTTCCTGA